ACCATCACGTTTCCGACCATCCCCAAAGCGCAGATGAGGAAGAGTAAAAAAGTACTCACTACTTTGTATTGGATGCTTGAGTCGGTCCATTCACCCAAAGTCTGGTTCGCTACTGTGGTAGAGTTTTCCATTTTTACGCACGGCAAAATAGACAACAAACTCAAAAACTATTAAAACATTGGAGACAGTTGTATGTTAATTTTGTCCATTGATGAAACCTGACAGTGTCTTGGAGCGGGGATGCGCCTGTTGCGTCGGAGCGCGCGGTCAGAGTGGCCGGTGGACAGATGGCGCATTGATTATGAGTCCCGCTCTTGGCACCGTGCGCTCGTTACGCATGCGAACGGATGAGCCCATCCTGACATTTCCGACTACAGACCACCGTCAGACCACTCAAATAGCCTCTCCTTGTCGCCAAAAATGTCCGTGATGCTCATTCCTTTCACAAACCTGGGCTGAGAGTGAAGTCTTTAGTCTTGGTATCGTTCTTCTCATACATAACTGATTTCCGATGATGCTGTGCCCTTGGTTGATGCGTAATAGACATATGACGCATGCTGTAATACATATTTCCTGTTTTTAAAAAGTGCATGCCATAAAGTGTCCTTAAGAATTGGCCAGGTCCATAGATTTCAGAATGATGACACATTAGGACTGTTGCCATAGTGATTAACCATTTAAACATAATGGTAAAAAGTCCTCAAATATATAACAGAAAGTTTAAAGTGATTTAAAAGTGATATTAGATTTTTATATGAAATTATTTAACCACAAACACAGCAAATATATAAATACAAAATTAAGAACTATTTTTCATGTAAGTAATCATGCCATATTTCTGTTTGAAAGGTGCACTGTGTAACATTTCTGCTGGAGATGTCATTGCTGTGCCTGGAATGTTCCACCGTATAGCATTAAAGTTGTATATCTCCATGGAGACAATGAGCGATGACACTACTAAGCCATTTCAAATGGAGTGGAGAGGAGACCCCAATCCACTTATTTTAGGCATAAATCAGTACACCAGCTGAATAAATGAAAGATAAGTTTAATGCCAGACTGTGGGACATTCCAGTTAATGCAGCTAGGTATCCAGGGAGACAATTAGATGACAGACCCCTCACTAGAAAAATGACATAGTGCTTCTTTAAAAATCACCAAGTTCCAAATATCACAACAATCGTATAACAAATGATTTTTATATAAAACTAAATATTCCTGTAAGATCCACGTACATGTCCTTTACATCCTACATGAATTGCTTTTAGTTTTGCAGATGTTGAGAAAGAACAATGATTTCCTGCAGATTACAAACCTCTCATCAAACTGAGCACAGATAATATAATTCACTATGTAAATGAAAAACATTCACTTCTGGATTTCTGCCCACATGTTGACCACATAACAGCAATTTCCTTCTTAAGAGTATTTGGGCCCTACATTGTGTATATGTGTCTAAAGTGTCCTTAAAGATCTTATATTATGGAAAATTGACTCCTGTGAAATTGAAGTCACGTTATGATGTTGTTACCTCATCAAAAACATACCTGGAGTGTGTTTTGTTTCATTCACACAGCTACCTTTTTCCATTAGTTCAGTAGAGATTGGCAATTCCAGGGCTGAAATCATCTAAATGATTCTATGATGATGATTGTAGTGAAGGTGTATGGAGTTTAAAAACACAGTGGATCACTTTCTGTATTGCCACATGACATCACAATGTGGAACAGAGTGTTTTCTGTTTAAGAGAAGAACTCTGCCTAAATATGTAGGTTTTGTGAATGAAACAAAAGACAACTCCAGGTATGTTTCTGATGAGGAAACAGTATTATAACATAGATCAGAAAATATCACAATTTGGGTCGTTTAATAATAAATGAATGGACTTCTTGCATAATTCCATTTATAATTCACAGTGAGGACATCAGTGTATGTGAATGGTGTGGGCACAGACACAGCTGGGCCCTTTCTGCTCATGTCCAGGGCTTGATGAAAAACTGTTCAGCTTCACCACAAAAGACCGGATATTTGGAACAATGAAATTCATGTTAAAAAGTATGTTTGTGTTAACAGTACAGTATAGTGAAAAGCATATTGTTGTCTTGATTTATTCACAACCACAATGTCTTCTACCTAAACCATAGGCTGTATATAAAAGGACATAGATAACCCAAGCTCCTCATTTTGGTTTTAAAATGTTCGCATTTATCTGCTCTATGTGATCCTGGTGTTTTTATTTAGTAAATTTTATTCATAAATAAATTCCTATTCTAATATAAAACTCTGCTCCAAATTCTCTCCTATAACTGCTAGCCTCGTGAGCTTCATTTGACTGGAGCTGAACTCTCATTTTGTGGTTCAGCAGCAAATTTTCTATTTTGAAAGCAGTGCACAATGAGCCCCTTGCTTTGGGTTACCAGATCTGAAACTAGTTGCATCAGAGCGTTTTAAAATGCGTCCACAGCAAATGTCAGCTAACGGCACCTCAGATTGTTATTGATTTTTCTTTTTTTTTAATTATTCATATAGTTCTACTTTAAGGTACTAGGTAACTTTTCTGCTGGAGGATTTGCCACCCAATCATCTTCATAAAGATTGTTTAGCCCACAGTAAGGCATTAACTCCATGAAAATAAGCAGGTTATGCCACTAAGCCATGTTAAAGGCCCAGATTTGTGGATTAGCAACCCTGCTCATAGTAACGATGTCAGTTTGAGTAGTACTTTAATAAATGTAGGATAGAGTTAATACCTAGAATATTCCAGGCAAAACGCACAGACTGAGGCCCCACCAAAAAGTGACATAGTGAACCTTTAAGAACATTTTTCAGGGTGCTTTTCAACCACCATCACTTCATAGTTATAAATAAAGACACTTGAGTTCATCTTGATAGTATTATTCAGCCATACTGTACATTGCCCATATTCTGTTCTAATATTGTAGCCTAAACATGAAGTCCTGATGTCTTCAGTCCAGGGACAGAAACGTGAGAAAATCAGTTTGTTTGTGTGGGGGTGGGAGCGCTCCTCCACACCAACTGTGCTCCGCCAGAGGAACTCAGAGCCAAAGCTGCACTATTTCAGTCATTGTGTTTTCTGTGTCCATGAAGGCTCTGGAGCAGGTGGAACAGGAGCTTATGTAACTATCAGTGTTCATAAGGCCCTGATCACAGGAATGTCTCAGGATCTCAGGACTCACGACAGGTCAGTCAGTACAAGTGTGTTCTGTTACTGTTTCACTTAATCTGGTGTAAAGATATGCTCTGATATAAAGCATAAAGCATAAAACATAAAGCCTAAAGCCTAAAGCCTAAAGCACTCCAATTATTCACATATCACATTCGCCGATAGAGCTTTTAATAACCAGAGTAACATTAAGCTTCAGTACATTAAAGATGCCCACTGTGACACCTGGCATCTCCATCAGTCTAACCACCCAGGCTTAACCCTGTTTACGTTCAGATTAGATGAGATTGATGTAGAGCTACACATTATGGTATCAAACATACATCATAATAATGCTTCACTTTTGTAATGGCTCGATAAGCCTCTCAGAAGCTCCACACTGTAGTCACTGCTCACTCCCTCCACACTCTGTGGTGGTCAGCTGTCTGTCTCCAGCTGCCCTGGGGCAGACTGACAGCAGAGGCTGCCAAGCTGTGCCACTCTCCCAACCACCACCAATCACTCACCCCACATTCATACTGTAAGATGGGTGAAATGTTTTGCCAAAGGGCACAACAACAGAATCGATCATCCAACCTTCAAATCAGTGGTTTCATTATTAAAAGGCTAAAAATAATCTCCATAAATACTTTATGTGCCAACACGTTTGGTCCCCCATCACGTCTGTGGAGTTTCTGGCCAAAAAACTGTTTTCTGTACACAAATAATGTCAGTCTATTCCAGCACGCCACATCATACGGCCTTGACTATGATCACCAAGATGAAAAAAGTAGATATAAAATCCAGAAGTCCTTGTGCTCATGGGTAGGCCTCATTCATGTGGATAATTACAAAGAAGCCAAATATTCTTTCAATATTCAGTCACTGAATCAAATGGACCTTCCCGTAAATTCGTTCTCATCTGAAAATGCCCATACAAAGTACAAAGTACTTTAGTGCCACCTTCTGGACAAGTACAACGACTGCAAGTCTGAACTGTACACTTTACACTGTAGTGTAAACTTCTCTCTGCGTTATGAGTTAGTTGTTTTCCCTGTGGTTCTGTAATGGGCTGTTACAGTGGAGTAGAGACTGTCAACTCATGAATACAGTTGAGAAAATTTAAATGTTCCTGAATAAAATCACCACGGCAACACTTATTGATGATTATGTTAAGTTCAGTTGGGCTAATTTAGGGCATGGCAAGTTTGATAACATTTTGTATTAAGAAATTTAAAAAACGTGTGTGTTGTAAAAGTGTCTGTATACGTATAGCCTAAATTAATTTAATCTGTCTTGTTATTATTAAGAAAAGGCATATAGCCAATGGATAAAATTTATGTTATAAGTATTTTTGAATCATAGATTGTATATATAAATGAACATAGCTAACCCGCTAGCCGCTGCGTTCCAAATAGAAAGTGAACATGGGGGAGCTTCCGGTTCCATCGTCTCTGGCTACAATTGACTTTATTATTGAAAAATTGGCAACCCTCATCCTGGTTTTTATTTCACTATTTTGTCCATAAATAAATTCCTATTCCTAATACGGAACTGGCTCCACATTCGCTCGTATAACTACAAGCCTCCATGAGCTTCATTTGACTGGAGCCAAATGCTATGGGTGACGTCGCGTTCCCTTATTCCACTTCTTTATACAGTCTATGTTTCGACTATGCAACTCTCACCTACGCACCTTTTTGCCAATAAAAACTAAATATGTTGCCCTGCTTTTCCAGGAGATGAGTTCATTCTTTCACATTATAATCTCTTTGTTCCAGTTGAAGATGACGTAAACCGGTGACATTCAGATCACCCTTGAATGAATAAATGAGGACAATTTTGACGGGTTTTAATGTTGTGTGTAATGATGTTTACAAGAAGAAAAATAACATCTCTGCATCTTTCATGTCATGTCTGAGTCAAACATTGGCATTTTATAGTTTGCCACAACATTTGGGAATGAATTATGTTTTAGAAAAGTGCAGGTGGGATGCCGCCTCCAAACATCAGAGTCCAGGAAGGTGGGACCTTCCACTTGTTTTGACCTTCACCCTAAAATAAAAAAAAAATGTATTATAATTTGCATATAAATTGTTGTAGAGTTATTGCAGGTTTTAATAGACATTTCTATATACAAAGCTTGTGTGTGTGGATTTTATATTATCCACCAATCTCATGTATGTACAGCACAGCGGCTCTGAAAAGATGTAAATCTGCGGAGCTGCACTTCCCTTTCCATTCACTGGGCATTGGGAATTAGCTGAGTCATGCTAAAATAGCTGAGTCATGCTGAAAATAAATCTATATTTAATATCAGACAGAGGACAGCAGGTTGGATAATTACAGACAGCGTGTTTAGACCATTACGACAATGTAAATACTTCACCAGAGGAAACTTCTGTGTTGATAAAAGTAGGTGTTTGTGTCTCAAAACCAATGCTAATGGTAACTTAATCTAAATCTCAAAATAAAACACAAAACAACTTTATAAAAATACATCTAATGACAAGTCGGTTGTTTTTCTGTGCAACATCATTCCTCGTAGCACTATTTTAACATCCCTAATTCATTTTAATTACACAAAGAACTACTTTTATACACACAAAAGCTTCCTCCGGTGAAGTATTTACATCGTAGCAAAGGTTTTAAAATGTACATGCTGTCTGTGATTATGTATCTGTAACCTGCTGTTCTCTGTCTAATATTTAAATATAATCAATGGAGCAAGAAGTGCACTTCCACAGTTTTGAGGAGGGGAACTAGCCGGGCGGCTCTGTGAATAGAGCCCATTTATGGATCTATTAAAATCTATTACAAAAGATCAAGAGGCTCTATTCACATTTACGTCAAAAACCCGGAAGACATTTGGAAACAGGAGAATGATGACGTCCTTTGGGCTCTGTTGACGATGGGGGGCGGTTTTCTTCATCTACATGTCATTGTATACTTTCTTTTTTTCCTTTTATAAATTGCCTATTAATTTGTGTATTATAATTTCTCTAACTTCATAAAAAAAAAGTTATTATTAATTAATTATAGTAGCGTTATGTTCGGCAGATCAGCAGTTAAAACCAGCTGCGCGTAGGTGACATTGAAGACACGATTAGATTCACATCCCTCATGGAAAGCTTTGACAGTATTATCATTTTTTATTATTTTTATAGATCCATGGTTTTATCACATGCCCATTATCGGTAACTACACCGGAAGTTATCATCTGCATGTTTCCAAATGTCTTCTGATAAGCGTGAATAGAGCCCATTGTATTGTCCAAGTCAATTATGTGTATGGGGGTGTGACTCACAGGATTGTCCAGCAGGTGGAGCCAGCTATTGAGATGGTTGATCAATATGAATGCGTCTGGGATGTTGTCTCCCTCTGAGCAAAAGACCAGCAGCACAGCCAGTGGGAGGTCCTCCGCACAACTACAGGGTCACAATTAAAATACACATTGAAATATTTTGTACACTAATGTTACCATAAATGTAATAGTTTGGCCTCAGTGTAGTCCAGATTTACAGAGATTAAACAAAACTTAAACAAACTATTGATACTTTGCAGTTAATGTCAGAACCAGAAAGAAGTGATTTTAGAGGTGAGATGATTTGCCCTTTTAAAACAAATCTCTCACAGAAAAAATTACAAACACAAGCTCATCATGACATCACTGCAAAGTATCAATAGTCGCTGTTATATACTTTTTATAATCCAGGTTTAGGCCTTGTTCAAACCTGGTTAAATTCTGGTTTAATTTCGGTTTTGTCCTGCAAATACTGTCATTTTTTTGTTTTTTTTGTTTTAGTTTTGATTGTCTAGCATAGCGTTTTTAAAAAAGCAAAAAGCAGATATTATTTTCAATGGAGTGTCGTACCCGTCAGTGAAGAGCCCTTTGGTGATGCCGCCTCCTGGGATGTAAAGTCGTGGCTCTGAAGTTCCATCTGTTAAACCGGGAAAAGCCTGGACTTTCTCCATCTCTGTCCACCCCAGCTCCTTCAGCGCTTCCTCACTCAACTTCAGCATGGACGGGGTGAACAGATACCTCAAAGGAGACCTACCCAACAACATGAAAAGTATTCTCAGGCAATGGTTCTCAAACTGTGGCAGCGTATCACTAATCATGGGTGTATTGTAGCCTTGATATCGTTACATTTAGAGCAGATATAAAGATGTTTTTGTTTATTTCTTTAGTTGGAGCATGTCCTGGTTTAGACTTACATTAGGACCAATTTAGGACTGCTTTGAACAGTGTTTAAAGTAGACTTTGCTAGCCCTGGTAAATTTCTGTTCTGGACAGGGGTGTAAGAAAAAAATACAGATTCAGTGATATATTGTGATACTTCACTGAACAATTCTCGAATCGATTCAAATGCGTCTGAATAGATTTTTTACAATAATTGGTAATTAATTAGTTGCATTCACTGTTCTCATGATGTTTACAAATTAAATTTCATACAGTTTTGTTATTGTGAACATGTAGTTGACTATGTTCATTCATTATGTTAAGTAATTATTGATAAATCACAATATATCATCCATTGTTTTAGTATCGAGTTATACTGTAGTGGAATATATCGAGATATATCGAGATATATCGGGATATAGCTAATCAGACTCAAGGAAATGCACACCCCTAGTTCTGGACTTGATTTAGTACTGAAATAGACTGGGATGCTAAGATACATTTTAAATCTGGGGACTATTAGTACAAGTATAAGTTTTACTGATTGAGTACAAGCCTGTATATTGTCTGTATCACTTACCCTTGCAGCTGTCTGTCATCCCTCTGATAAGCATGACTACTGGACAGAACTATCGTCCTGGAGAAACCACTGGCTTTGATCCAAGATATAAGCACCTGACGAAACGGTTTGCTTCTTTTCTGCAATTACAGTAATGAATATGAAGAACGTCTGATAAAACTATAACAGACTAGTACAGATCAGGGTTGTGTGGCACTTACATGAATGACGGGGGACCTGATTTGAAGAACTGCCAGCTTCATTTCTCTGGACATGTAAACTGTGAAGAAGAACACTTAAATAATTGTAATCTACTTTACTTCCTCCAACACAAAACGTTTATGAATTTACCCACAGGCACAAATCATAGCATTAAATTTAATTAATTTGGAGTCAGTCCACAATTAAATATGAACACAATTAAAGTGTCAAATTACAGACAACAGCTCTGCAATTACTAATGTCATCAAATCACCGTTCCTATATCAAAAATGAACCAAGAAGAATATTGTTGTTTATTATGCTTGAACAAAGCTCTTATTAGCTTTTATTCAGTCTCTGAAAAATTAATGGACCAACAAATATGCTAAAATAAACAGATAAATTATAGGAACGTAACGATATCCAAATCCTTCAATACGATACTTTCACAATATACCTGTCTCGGTACAATACTGATTGCGATATTTTGTGGAGACTAACTGAATTTTTCCTTTTAAAATGCCTTGACAATCCTTAATAAGTGCTTAATTACATAATTTCTTGTTGAAATGGAGCAAAGGATCATGGTCTATGTATTTCCCTCTGTTTTTTTTAGCTATTCCTACACCATAACAAAAAATTTAAGCAAAGAGACTTGTAATTAGATGTATTGTGATGGCCCACGATATTATCCCACATCTGGCTAGTGATGGCATATCAGAGGTGTTGTTTAAAAAGAGTTTAAGGAAATGTTTGATATTTCATGATAATGTTTGATAATCATTCAGTTGTGGATGTTTCCTTGTATTTTAATCCATGTTTGAATCAAATGTATTTAATCTAAGGTCTGTAAATGTATAATTTCTTTTATTAACGCACAGCTACAATGTTCAATCTTAATGTATTCATAAGGTAGAGGTGTTAATATAAGCCCTTTTGTTTGTTTTTTTGCCTCATCCAGCACCGTTATCTAGTGTGCTTTTTATTGTTATTTGTTATCAAGATATTTCAGTTATTGCTACATCCCTTATAAATTATACAGTACTGGCATTAGTCTCTTCCTGCCCTCTATGTTTACAATCTCGGTCCAAATGAGAAATGAACCCATTCCTCCCAGGTACCTTCTGCGGCTGTGTGCACTCCGTCTGCGTCCTCTTTTCGGGTGCTGTACGGGTTGGTTCCTGCTATCGGGACGAGGCAGTCGGTGTGGATGTGGCCCACTCGACACATGTCAAAGGTGGAGATGATGAGGTCTACAGCCAATTGCCCCACGTTACCCACAGCGACCACGGGCTGGACATAACAAGATACATGACATTTTATCTTGCACATAACATCAAAATTTTGCACTATTTTTATGTCATAACCTTAAAATAAAATAATTTACCTTAAACATTTACTAACCCATCTATGACACTGGTGCAATGGTTTAAAAACATGTTAACAAAATGTGTTACTTTAAGAACAACATGAACGAAAGTATCATGTATCTAAATCTGGCAGAGCATCTTTTCTCTCTGAAATTAATGTTTTCTATGCACTGATCTTGTTTAAATTAAATAAATCATTTAGAAAAATAATACTTAATTACTGAGAATTTAAAAAAAAATCCTAATTACTTATAAATGTCATAATTTTGGGTCTAAAACAATTTCGTTAAAATTTTATACTGGAATAACTTGTCTCTGAGAATAATTGCCCTGGATCTAGTGGATCTAATGAAAATCTTTGTATATTGTGCCATTGTGATATAGACTGAGACAAAATGCTAAAATGCATCTTTTTAGTAAAATTGCAATAGTGTTTTAAGTGTTCGTATAAAATGAAACTAAATGAGACATGACCATGAATCTGTGGACTCACCATGATGAGGGTAAATCCTTTCAGATCCGGTGGTGATTTCTGCGACGGGATGAACATTGTGAAGTTTAGCGAAAGATGGAAGAACTATAAGAATTATATAAATTTAAAAGTTTAAAGAAGTTTTCTCGTGTGTTTTGTATTTTCAGCTCGGGGTTGTGGTCCTTCTGTTCACTGTGTCCACCGAGTGTGACGTGTTTTGGCGTCTAGGAAGCGCCTGATGACAAATACAAAATAAACGAATGACCATGGACCGTATAATAGACAGTGTGTGAAATGTACACAGGCTAAAAAGTAAAACCCAAACCTTTTAATAAACTATTAAAAAAGAAAAAAGAAAAATATATTTGCCATATTTTCATTAGGCATCATTGCAGACATCTTTTTGTAGTTTTCTTAAGATTTTGTGTAATCATAAATATCTAACTGTAATATAATTTAAAACATAAAACTTAACTTCATTCATTTTTCCTCTTTAAACTGAATAGTAAACCTTATGGTATCATTCTAGTTATGGCAAAAATAAATAACATAAATAAATACAAAATATTGCATTTAAATATTTTTATTAGTAATATTTTAATTGTCATGCATCACCTTGAGGTTTTACTTCATCAGGAATTGGTAAACCTTTAATAGCAGCCAAAGAGTTGTCCAACATTTTCTGTAAAATCTTCTTGGCAGTGTTGACTGAATATATTCCAATGTGAGGTGTGATCAGTGCGTTGGGCAAGTGAAGAAGGGGATGATCCCTGTACAAAGTATACAAATACAATGAAATACATATTATGTCCAAGTTGTATTAATTATAGATGAGATGTTGGCTATATTAAATTGATCAAACCTTGGTAGTGGTTCAGGATAAGTCACATCTAATGCTGCAGCTTGAATTGCACCAGACTGAAGAGCCTGGACTAAGGCTTCTTGATCTACAACAAGACCTAAAACAAAAACAGCAGGTGTTTTTTTAGGGACAATATCTTTAGAGAGACCCTAACCCCATAGAACTGTAATAGAGAATGACTCATTATTATCTCGGTGATGTGTGTTATTGTTTCTCACCTCGGCTCACGTTGATGAGAATAGCAGTCCGCTTCATCAGTGACAGCTCCCTGTGTCCAATCAGGCCAACAGATTCAGGACTAAATCTCAAAGATAACATGACAAAGTCGGACATCTTCAGCAAGTCGTCCAGGTTCTCACAGTAAGTCGCTCCCACTGCTGCCTCATCTTCTGCGCTCCTTAAAAATATAAATGTACAAGCAGCATTACTGAATAGTGAGAATATTGCTCTAACTCTGTTATATCTGCACAATATGTCTTAGTAATAATATCAACTGATGGATCTAACTGGGATCCACTTTTATGTCCACAAACAATTTAACTGTATTTTTTCAAATTCACACTATTAAAATACGAGTAAATTATTCATTACAATAAAGGCCACCACACACTACAGACACACGTGAGGAACTACTCTGGCCTTTTTACTTTTAAAGAACGTGTCAAACTGAATTAATAGCACGGTTTTGTGGACTGGGCATCATTTTTTGAACAATTTCTATCAATAATGTGGATTAGATACTTCACTTAAAAATTATCACTTTACGAGAGGTGAGCCGCTATATCTTTGTTTGAGTTTGTATCTTGCGCCCCTGTGGCTGTCATTCCGTGTGCCCCTGACGCTCTGTTTTTTGGCTGTTCTCATCGTGTTGCTGATGTTTGGTGGTTATGATCTGACAGAGCAGCTCAGATTCACACTGACACCACACACATGAGTGCAGCGGATTCATAATCACGCACGAAGACAAAAAGTCAGGTCATGCCTCTCCGACAGGGAGAAGCAAATCGCAGCCAAAATTGGGCAAATACTCCTGTAGTGTGTGGCGGCCTTAAGATTTCTGTATTCTGTGATAAGAATTCATTTACTCTTGTCCTTGATAAGTCCTGGTTGGAGCCCAGTTTAGCCCATATTTAGAGTTTAGGACTTTTCTGGTGCTGATAGTTCAGGATTAATTGCAGTTTAGTTCCATTTTTGATGTGGTCAAAGTGCACATATAATTGCATCCTAATGACAATCAAGTAAAACATTATTGGTCACCAGTAGTATTTTCAGCATTAGTAGTATTTTCAGCATCGCCATTAGACCTAGTTGGTCCTTTAGTTTATACCTTCTGTTTCGGTTGTGGTAAAGAATCTTCATGTAAAATCCTTTGCTTCTTTGGGCGATTTTGTATCCGATTTCTCCCATCCCAATGATTCCCAGAGTGGAGCCTGTGACTTCAGTTCCCAGGAGGGTATGGGGTACTATCACAGTATTAGGAGACTTGGCTATTTCTTGACCTTTATGTGGGGACAATAATAAGAAGACAAATTATAATAGATAAGATACAATCGCGGTATAATTAACCTACTCCATACCTTGACATATTTTGCGGGCAGATGCCAGAAGAAGTCCCATTGCAAAATCAGCAGTAGCATCTGAGACAACATGTGGCGTGTTGGTCATTTTTACCCCAAGACTGTGAATGTATGGGATGTCGAGGTGGTCTGTGCCAGTCCCTGCGCTGCTCACCACCCTGAGTGAAGGCAGCAGAGCCAGCAGAGAGGGCGTGGCTTCAGGACAAAACTTCCAACTGAACAAAACCTGGATCTTTGGCCCATAAAAATCAGGGTTTTGGAGGAAATCAGAAAAGGGCACAATCTGGAAATGCTCCTTCATCATCATTGCGAGATCTTCTCGGTAACCATTTTCTCCAACCTCTGAGATCAACGCCCAAGGTTTGTCAGCAGCCATCACCTGCAGCAGAGATTTTCATTTTAAATTGTATTAACTTGACCCAACTGTGTCTCCAGATACGAGGTAAACATGTTCAGATCAAATATAGCTTTTACTGGTGAGTATTCTAATGCAAATTTATTCTTGATTTTGGACATAATGTTCTTTTGATGTATGTTACAATTTGGTGTTTTGATTCTCTAGACGATTATGCAAGCAGAGAGCAGAATGAAGAGAGCAGCAATTATTAGCCATAGAAGTAACTTTTTCAACCTTCTACAGTTCAAATGCTTTTGTGTTATATCAAAAGTAAGAAAAAAATTCCCCACTACTGTAAGGAAAATGCACACACGGTAAATACTGAGCCCCAAAATGTATGGTCCAAGCTTTCACATACTGAACAAGACATCAATATGGTAATTATTGTCACAGGCCTAGAAAATATAGCAAGAAGATTTTACACCCTTTCTAAAGACTTACCCAAGAGTTCAGTCCTTCTGTTACCAATAACAGGCCTCTGCTTGTGCTTTTGGTCTGTTAAGTTAAATGTTTAACAAACTTGGCTAATGTGCATGTGGCTTCTCCATATTTGTACATTTTTAACTGAGAATTTCCTGAGGGAATGGTTTTAACATTCCCTTCAGTTGTCTGGGCTTTACAGTCACAAGTTACCTACATTTAGATTCAACTCAATTATTAAACACACAACAACTTAAAGATCCATTGTAGCATCCAGTCGAATTGACAAGGCAAGAACTGATGATTAAATTACTTTTAATTTTTCCATGCCATGTCATCAAACCAACATAAGAGCCAGACAAGAACAAAATAACAGAAATTACCATGACACCATGTTACCAGCTCATTGCATAGTGTAACTGTTATCCATACAATTTTTACAGTTTACACAATAAATAACATAAAATAAATAAATACAAAATATTGCATTAAAATATTTGTATTAGTAATATTGTAAATGTCATGCATCTCCTTGAGGTTTCACTTCATCAGGAATTGGTAAGCCTTTAATAGCAGCCAAAGAATTGTCCAACATTTTCTGTAAAATCTTCTTGGCAGTGTTGACTGAATATGTTCCCATGTGAGGTGTGATCAGTGCGTTGGGCAAGTGAAGAAGGGGATGATCCCTGTACAAAGTATACAAATACAATGAAATACATATTATGTCCAACTGTATTAATTATAGATGAGATGTTGGCTATATTAAATTAATCAAACCTTGGTAGTGGTTCAGGATAAGTCACATCTAATGCTGCAGCTTGAATTGCACCAGACTGAAGAGCCTGGACTAAGGCTTCTTGATCCACAACAAGACCTAAAACAAAAATGACGAGTGTTTTTAGGGACAATATCCACAGGCCTCCAGATCCTCCTGGCCATATTTGCCTAGATCCGTGTGTGTGTGTGTGTGTGTGTTTGCAAGCCTCCATATACAGACCCCCGCTGTGATGCTGTGATTGGAGGAATCGATTTAAGATGGCATCTGGAGCCCCTCCCGCTGAATGGTGGAAACCTGGAACACCTGGCCAATCCCAGGCCTACACCTGGAGCTCCGGCCCTATAAAAGGACCCGCCCCCTGCCACTCTGGGCAGCTGTTCTGGTTGTGGACTTGCTTGCCATCTTTGTGTCTCTCGTGCTGTGTTTGTTGAGATACTAGAGTCCTGGTGACTTAGACTGTTTTTTTGTTTTTCTGTTTCATTTAGTGTACCCCGTTTTGGTTTGCTTATCTTTCCTTATATTGTTAGCCACTCTGTTTAGAGCCTCTTTTTGTTAATTCTTGTAAGAATCATTGTTTTGTTTGGTTTACCTTACAATTCTGTTAAATAAATCACAACTTTAGTTTTACCATTTTACAATCTTGGTTATTTTGTTACTTCCCCCTGTCCCTAGCAGAGCTGGGTCGTAACAATTGGGGGCTCGTCCGGGATACTTCCAACCCTTCCTGGAATACTGAAGTTGTACAGGTTGTTTAATTGGATTGTTTTAGGTAAGTCTTTTGATTTAGATTAGTTCTACAATGGCGTCGGTGATGGTGGACAGGTTGGTGGAACGTAATTTCTGTGTCTCGCCTGTGTTTGGTTCTGAATTGCCTAATGTGTGTGTGGATTCTGAGCTTGTCACTCCTGTGGGTGCTGTGGAGGTTGCTGTGCGGCCTAACACTCCGGACAGTTTTCCTCTGCGCCAGCCCCTCTCGTCCTCCTGTTCTCCCAGGGACGGAGCTCGGCTCAAAGTGCGCCTGGCTCGTCTCAAAATGGAGACTGAGGCCAAGGAGAGAGCACGCAAGGCTCAGCTTGAACTTCGAATCCGAAAGCTCGAGATTGAGGCTGAGACAGCTATTAAGCTCAAACAGCTGGAGTTTGAGTCTCAGGCCCATCTGTTAACCAGCTCTGGTTCTACTACTGCCACTGACCTGCCTTCCACCTTCCAGTCCACTGCACCTTTTGACGTAAGTACCAACATTTCACTTGTTCCCACATTTGGGGAATGTGATGTAGACTCTTATCTTACAGTCTTTGAACGCATCGCAACAGCCTTAAAATGGCCCCGCGATGTTTGGGCAATTTTGTTATTATGTAAACTCCCTGGTAAAGCTCAAGAAGCTGTTGCTAGTTTACCAGTTGAGAAAAGTTTGTGTTACGACACTGTGAAAGCTGCCATTTTGAGTGTCTACCAGTTGGTACCTGAGGCCTACCGGCAAAAATTCAGACAGCACCCCAAAGTCCCGAGTCATACCTACTCCCACTTTGCTAGAGAGAAGGGGAGTCTCTTTGATAAATGGTGCACTTCCTCTAAGGTTTCTGATTTCAGTGCACTCCGTGAGCTTATTTTGTTGGAGGACTTTAAGCAGTGTTTGCCTAATCCTCTTGTTTTGTATTTGAATGAGAAAAGGGTCCAAACCCTTTCTGAAGCTGCTGTGTTAGCAGATGAGTTTATGTTGATTCACAAAAGCAACTTCCCTGTGTTTCCGCCTAAATGTTCCTCACATTTTCCTGTGTCATCTGCATCATTAAATGTAAAACGACCAAGATATCAGACAAAATGTTTCTATTGCCATAAATCTGGACATCTCATTGCCGACTGCCCAGCCCTGAAGCGAAAAGCAGAACGCACTGCACCCAAACAAAGTGTCAGTTTAAGTCAATCTGGTTCAACCACTTTAGCCACTGACACTAGCCAAAAGCATGACTCAGATTCTGAGTCTTTGGTTTTGGGTGGTTTAGTGGGACAACCTTCTGGCAGAGGATCTGATCTGCACCCTTCTGATTCTGTTTTGTTGTCCAATATTTCAGATAAACCGGTGGTTTCCAAGCCTGCTGGGGCAAGGTTCCAAGCCCGTCTTGAGAGCCCTGATTATGGTAGAACCTTTTCATACTGTAGAGATGGACTGTGCCTGGGAGTTGACCACCAAATTTCAGAATGTAGTTGCAACCTTGATTCCTGTTACCTGATTGTGTCCCTCCCTCATAACAAAAGCTGTAGGCAGCTCAGAGGAACTCCCTCCTGGTTTAGCCACTGTTCAAAACGTGGCTCTAAAATTCATGAGGTTTGTAGATTTGTAGCGCCTGGTTAAAATGTGTGTTAATCACACTCCAGACTCTTTAGTTTAGATAAAATTAGGTAAATGAAATTAGTTTTGTGCATTTTTGTAAGAAAGCTGATGATGCTATTCGCTAAATATTTGTATAAGGTTGGTAAGTGCAATGATTTTGCTAGAAGTAAGTATGGCTTTGTTTTTTTATATTACAAACTGGGTTTGTAACTTAAGGGGGGGAGTGTTACGGCCACAGGCCTCCAGATCCTCCTGGCCATATTTGCCTAGATCCGTGTGTGTGTGTGTGTGTGTGTTTGCAAGCCTCCATATACAGACCCCCGCTGTGATGCTGTGATTGGAGGAATCGATTTAAGATGGCATCTGGAGCCCCTCCCGCTGAATGGTGGAAACCTGGAACACCTGGCCAATCCCAGGCCTACACCTGGAGATCCGGCCCTATAAAAGGACCCGCCCCCTGCCACTCTGGGCAGCTGTTCTGGTTGTGGACTTGCTTGCCATCTTTGTGTCTCTCGTGCTGTGTTTGTTGAGATACTAGAGTCCTGGTGACTTAGACTGTTTTTTTGTTTTTCTGTTTCATTTAGTGTACCCCGTTTTGGTTTGCTTATCTTTCCTTATATTGTTAGCCACTCTGTTTAGAGCCTCTTTTTGTTAATTCTTGTAAGAATCATTGTTTTGTTTGGTTTACCTTACAATTCTGTTAAATAAATCACAACTTTAGTTTTACCATTTTACAATCTTGGTTATTTTGTTACTTCCCCCTGTCCCTAGCAGAGCTGGGTCGTAACACCCTAACCCCATAGAACTGTAATAGAGAATGACTCATTATTATCTTGGTGATGTGTGTTATTGTTTCTCACCTCGGCTCACGTTGATGAGAATAGCAGTCCGCTTCATCAGTGACAGCTCCCTGTGTCCAATCAGGCCAACAGATTCAGGACTAAATCTCAAAGATAACATGACAAAGTCGGACATCTTCAGCAAGTCGTCCAGGTTCTCACAGTAAGTCGCTCCCACTGCTGCCTCATCTTCTGCGCTCCTTAAAAATATAAATGTACAAGCAGCATTACTGAATAGTGAGAATATTGCTCTAACTCTGTTATATCTGCACTATTTGTCTTAGTAATAATATCAACTGATGGATCTAACTGGGATTCCACTTTTATGTCCACAAACTATTTAATTGTATTTTTTCTATTCACACTACTTAAAATACCAGTAAATTATTCATTACACCAATAGATTTCTGTATTCTGTGTTAAGGACTCATTCACACTTGTCCTTGATGAGTCCTGGTTTGAGCCGAGTTTAGCCCAAATTTAGACTTTAGGGGCTCGATCTTGCCCCCAGTCTTAGGACTAGCGCTAGCGTTAAGGAAGGGGTGTATCAAGGTGGGGCTGTACTTCACTGCTGGAGGCTGGAGTGGGACGGTACAAGCACATATATGTTGTCGGCACCTGAACCAATCTGTGACCGCTGTGGCGTTTAAAAGCACTGCCAGTGTGGTTAATGTTTGTAATATTTGCCTCATTATCAGGCAGCAAAGCGGAGTGTGGGAAAAAAATTATATATGAGTACAATAAAACAGCTCTGGAGCCCCAAAATGTAAGTACACACCAGCAGAGGCGCTAGGAATATAGAATTTTGTGTGGGCCATGACAGAACTGACTGGGTTTGTCTTCTGAACACTCCACACGCATGTGTGCCCCTCTCATGCACGCAGACACGTCAAGCTTTTATAGTTTTCTCTGTGTTTGTTGTCCTCCCATTACGCAGCAGACCAGTGTCTCATGCGCTCCACATCCCACAGCTGCTGCTACCGTCTGTCCCGGCAGTCCACTACCACAGACTCACCTGAGCTACGAGTATCCACCGCTGCAACCGCTGACCGCTCACATTCTCGTCTCTCAGGTCCACTGCGTTTGGTCCCACACTGGTGGATGTCTCGCGGATTATGGAATACGTTTATTGTCATATAAATGCTTCTGGTGTTACCGCTTTGTGTACAGATATGATAAGTGAGTCTGCTCTGCTGTCACAGCCCCGAGCTGTCAGTGAATGCACTGATCTCTGTCAGAGTCCAGCAGCGAGAATATGAGGAAATCGATATCGCAGCATTAGGACCACAGACAGGGGAAGAAAACACACTTTAAGACATTGCCGTAAACAGCCTCTTGTAAATGAGCAGCTTCTGTACAGATCCAGATCAAATCAAACTATAGAGCAGAGCTGAGCCGATACAGGGAGCAGGTGAGGGGCTGTGATCTGCAGCGGGAGGACATCCAGACGGCTCCCGCACAGCACACGAACATATTATGAATGTTAAGCATTTATACTACTTATAATATATGTGCACATATAATTGCACCCTAATGACAATCAAGTGAAAAATTCTTGTTCACCGGTAGTATTTTCAGCATTGGTAGTATTTTCAGCATTAGTAGTATTTTCAGCATCACCATTAGACCTAGTTGGTCCTTTAGTTTATACCTTCTGTTTCGGTTGTGGTAAAGAATCTTCATGTCAAATCCTTTGCTTCTTTGGGCAATTTTGTATCCGATTTCTCCCATCCCAATGATTCCCAGAGTGGAGCCTGTGACTTCAGTTCCCAGGAGGGTATGGGGTACTATCACAATATTAGGAGACTTGGCTACTTCTTGACCTTTATGTGGGGACAATAATAAAAAAATAATAAATGCAATAAATAAGCCACCACCACAGCGTAATTAATTACATTAACTATGCTACTAATACTACTCACCATCACATATTTTGCGGGCAGATGCCAAAAGAAGACCCATTGCGAAATCAGCAGTAGCATCTGAGACAACATGCAGCGTGTTGGTCATTTTTACCCCAAGACTGTGAATGTATGGGATGTCGAGGTGGTCTGTGCCAGTCCCTGAGCTGCTCACCACCCTGAGTGAAGGCAGCAGAGCCAGCAGAGAGGGTGTGACTTCAGGACAAAACTTCCATATGAACAAAACCTGGATCTTCGGCCCATAAAAATCAGGGTTTTGGAGGAAATCAGAAAAGGGCACAATCTGGAAATGCTCCTTTATCATCATTGCGAGATCTTCTCGGTAACCATTTTCTCCAACCTCTGAGATCAATGCCCAAGGTTTGTCAGCAGCCATCACCTGCAGCAGAGATTTTTATTTTAAATTGTATTAACTTGACCCAACTGTGTCTCCAGATACGAGGTAAACATGTTCAGATCAAATATATCTTTTACTGATGACTATTCTAATGCTAATTTATTCTTGATTACAACTTTGAACATAATGTTCTCTTGATGTATGTTACAATTTGGTGTTTTGGTTCTCTAGACGATTATGCAACATAATGTTTCAGTGCTGAAATCCAGTTGGTAAATAGAATAAAGCAATTATTAGTCCTAGAAGTAACTTTTTCCAAATTCTACAGTTCAAAAATGTTTGTGTTATATCAAAAAAAAAAAGTAAATTCCCCACTACTGTAAGAAAAATGTACACATGGTAAATATTGAGCAAAATATATCGTCCAAGCTTTCACAAATTGAAGTTATTCAGTCATTTAATTAGTTAATATGGTAATTACAATGAAGGGCCTAGAGAAAATTGCAGAAGATTTTAATGCCCTTTGTAGAAACTTCCCCAAGATTTCTTCTATTTGGCAGGCCTGTTGTTAGCCAAACCTGTTGGTAACACCAGCAGTCAAACCAGGCCAGGCTTGGTAACTGCAAGAAAGTTGAAATTTAAATGTTTAGCAAACTCGGCTAATATGCCTGTGGCTTTTACATATTTGTAAATTTTTAATTGAGAATTTCCTGAGGGAGTGGATTTAACCATCCCTACAGTTACAATCCCTGTTTTGTTTCTTTTTATTTGATTCCCTTTTTCTTTTTTCTTATTTAAATTTATTTTATCATTATTATTATTATTTTTTTTTAGCAGACTCCTTTCAATGCAATGGTAATTTATTGACGGTCCCTAAACCGCGGACTCAGCGGAGCTTTGGTGTACAGCTCCCCGCACCGTGATCGAGCAAGAAGCGGGGCACAGGCAATGAACATCTCCGCTGTTGATGCGTAACTGAATATCGAACGTCTAACGTGAAACTAACTTCACCACGGTCTTTCCAACCACAAGTTACCTAGATTTAGATTCAACTCAATTATTAAACACACAACAACGTAAAGATCCAATGTAGCATCCAGTCGAATTGAGAAGACGAGAACTAACAGTTAGAGCCAGACAAGAACAAAATAACAGAAACTAGCACATAATTACTATCATTACTAGCTCTTGCGTAATGTCATCTATACAGTTTTTACAGTACAATTTTACAAATTGCTCAAATAAACATTCACAAATAAAACAAACCTGGATCCCGTATTGACTGTTGCTATCTGGGGGTTTTTGTTTGACCTTTCGTTCTGACCTGTGTGGTTGTGTGGTGTTGGAGTGTATGTGAGTGTGTATGAGTGTGTGTAATGTCTGTAGTAGTTCCTGCAGTTTTGGTGGTGTGATAGATTGATTCATCTTTTATGCGTGTGAGGTATGTGGACATACCAGCTTGTCAGATCTCAAAGGGTAAACAAGGCCAGTATAGTACTTGGATGGGAGACCTCTAGGTAAATCAGGTGCCACAGTGGGAGCGCTCACACACACAGTGCCTAGTATGAGTGAATGAAATGATGTGTGTCTGAGTGTTTGTGGTGGTTGGAGGGGCCAATGGTGCAGATTAGCAGCCACGCTTCCATCAGTCTGCTTGCCAATAGTAGCTTGCCACCACTGGGTGTGGAGTGAATGAATAATGATCTGTAAAGCGTCTTTGTGACATGTCTGGTAAAAGTAAGTTTTTATTTATATAAATAAAAATTTAGTTACCAAAATAAAAGCATATTACCTTACCTGACGTTTACGTGCATCAACACCACTCTTTTAAATTACATTTTTTGTAAGGCAGCCTCACTTTGCTTAGTGATTACATATACTCTTACCAGTCTTACCACCTTTTATTACAGCTGTATAGTATAGTGCTATATATGTGAACAGTGAGTACGTACCAATCATACAACAATTATTGTTATATAGGGGGGAGGGAGAGAGAGAGAGAAGGTGGAAAACACACACACACACACACACACACACACACACACACACACACACACACACACACATAGATAGATAGATAGATAGATATAGATAGATAGATAGATAGATAGATAGATAGATATAGATATAGATATAGATAGATATATATTGACCTGATTGACAGGTCAATCAGACCCCCAAAAAAAAATATTTTCAAATAAACTCTCACCAGGCGAGAAAATACATTTCTGGGTCTGACTGACCTGCCCCAAGAGAGCGGGAAGGGGAAAAAAATCGGGTATCAAAGTAGTCAGTCTTTGGGTCATCGTTGTTGGGGGTTGTCTTTTTTCCATCTCCATACTTTCTACAAAGACTTCATAGAAAGGGATTTACTGTAATGTGTCGTTTATTTTTTTATTTATTAGTATTTATATTTGTTCATTTATTTATTTTTACATGTACGAAATGTGAGCTTCACTCTCTGCTTTTTCGAAGCTTCACTCCCGCCTAGTGGCTGTAGACGGTATTACATGTGAGTTCAGCGGCTGCAGAAACCCGAGAGACATCGGGGGTAAAAAACACTCAAAACCGGACTGGCCCCCGAACAAATATCACGATGATGGACTTAAATTACCAGTCGATAAAAATAGCGCATCAGGCCAGGGAAGCAGTGAGTACCGAGCTAGTTGGTCGTGTTTTTATTTTCTGTATTTTTTGTTTGTTTGTTTGTGCTGATTCTTGTGAGCCAGGTTGAATCAGCTTTACCTAAAATAAGTTATGTTCAGAACAGCTTTGCTTCTAATCTTAATGTTCTCTTTGCAGATAAAAGTTTTGAGTAAATCTAACCTTTAAACTCTTCATTTCGTGCACTTCTTTCACAGTTAGTTAGCATTTCACTAACACTAGCTTATTCGGCGAGCACAGCGTTCCTGGTTGCCTGGATACGGCTGAACCGCGTGCAGCATCGATCAAGAATCACGAGAGGATGCACTGAGCACTTTGGGATAAAATAATCCAAATTGCCAGTCAGTTATGGGCCAAAAGATTTCTCAGGCAATTAAGGATGCAACGTCTTTAAACCCGAACTCCATTCATGCTTTAGTTGCGTAAACTTTTGACTAAATTGTAGCTTCACTGACTCTTTACTTGGCTGTTCAATCCTTGTTGCTATTGTATTCTAAACACCCAACTCACCTTGATTGTGTGAGTTTCTTGATACTATTGTATTCTATTAAACACCCAACTCACCTTGATTGTGTGAGTTTCTTGATGTAAAGTGCTTCGAGTATCCATAAAGTAGAAAACACTGTACTAAAAATGTCAGTAATGAACATGTATTTTGACATTTGTTTGTATGTTAAAGGAGGAGGAGAGGACAGACACAAGGAGGAAGGGTCTGCTAGTCCTCATCTACCATCACCTCATGAGACAGGGGTAAGCTGTGCAGGGATAAGGTTTATATCCATCTGCATCCTGGGGTTTTTATTGCTGTTATAAATAGACAGGAGGCTAACGCTTAAAATAAGGCTGGAATTGTGCTTAAATTAACAGTATGTATCCTATGCTCTTAATTAATTTAAAAATGTAATTGAGCCTGGGTTGGCAGTACCTTAATCTGCATATAGAGGACACATAGCTCTTTTTCTCATTCTCAGTGTATGGACAGACCATAGCTTGTGTGAAAGCTCAGAACCTCCAGAATTCCCTCCCTGAGCTGCAGAGGCTGCACTAACACTGATTCATGATTGGCTGTAGGTGCTGGAGTTTAGGTAGTGACCATTCAGATCAGAGAGGGGCATTTTAGGTTTAATCCATTGGCAACCCAAATAAGAGACTCATGTCAGGATAGTTGCCTTGAGAAATAAATCATCAAATTATAATCCACAATCCAAAATGGTCACCCAGCTGATTTGGGAACCCCCCATCCCCCCTTGAAGATGTCGTCTTTGGACTGAAGGATGGATAAGAGACATGGGGTGGGAGGAATAGGGTCAAGAGAGCTGACACAGACTGTGGTGTTGGGATGGGCCATAAAAATAGGGCTTCTGGGTAATTGAAGGCGTGGTTGAGATAAGCTGTGGTTGGCTGGAGAGAAGGCTGAGGCGTGGTCCAGCTCCTGAATCTCAGTTAATCATATTATTTCCACTTTAAACAACTTGGCCATCATGCCCAATGTTTTTGGTATTATGAATAAATCGGCATATGGAATTGTTACCAGCTATATACAATGTGATTTCAGCATTATTTGAGTGACAGTGGAGCAGTGCTTTAGTAGTCTGGTTTGTTGTTTGTTGGAGGGGCTGATGGTGCAGATTGGCAGTCTTGCTTCCATCAGTTTGTCCCAAGGCAGCCTTGGCTACTCTAGCAGCTTAACACCACTGAGTTTGGAATTAATAAATAATGACTGCAGTGTAGCGCTTTAAGAGCTTCCAACAAGCCTTTAAAGGACATTTAAAGTATAAGGCATTATGATTACCTGTTATCTGGAGACACAGATAGGTCATGTTTATTAGATTAGATTTCTATGTCTTATTTAGTCAAGAACAAAGGAAAAAAAGACAACAAAAACATCATGGATCCTGGTTCTGTCTGATGATGAATGTGTGTCCCCTATGCCCAGGTACATGGAGGCTGCCCTGGCTCTGGACCAGGAGACAAACCTGGGCCTGAGGAGGTTTGAGGTGTGTGACAACATCGACTTGGAGATGGTGCTGATGGAATATGAGAGCTACCACTATGTCAAGTATCAAAAGTACCCCAAACTCATCAGGAAGGCCACAGAAGCTGGTATGTATGGTGTGTGAGGAGTCTTTTTTCAATATTAGAAGCTAAGTAAGTGAAGTTAATATCCTAGTTTGAGGAAATTTAGGTTAGAAATGTGTGTGTTTGTGTGTGTGTGTGTTCCAGGCAAAGTTGAGAATCAGGCATTCTAGCTTAGGCAAAATGTCCTACTTTGAATAAAAAATGTATAATCTTTATCTGTAACATATACAAACTCACAACATAGGAACCTCCCCTGTTATGGAGTAAGTGTTGGTGAGATCAAATGTATTAAATGTATTTGTATTTGTTTAAAAGGTGAAAACAGATGTGGAAAGCCTGCTGGTGTTAAAAGGTAAGTGGATTCTCTTTATGCCTACTATTATACTATGGAAAACCTCTCAGCTCTCTCTCTTTTATCCACCTTCATTGACCCTATTGTAACTTCACTGACTAATATATTTTTGTTTCACTGTTTTTCTGTAGGATTACCGGCTCAGCATTAAAGCCTCTGTCGAAAACCACATCTTCTCAAGGCCCTAACCCAGGGAAGAAGACTGCAGCCAGTGCACAGCCAAATGTGAGGCAGATATGAATACATTTTACTTTTTGTTTTATATATGTGGCATTTAAAAGTGTGCTTCAAATTTATGCTTCAGGAAAATGGTGTCGATTCTTCTGAGTTTGGTCTCAATGTTTCATCAGTTGGCCATGGTCCCAGCGGTGAGGTGACAAATAAAAAGGTAGGAATGTGGAAATACTATTTAGCAATGGGGAAAACAGCTTCATCAGGTGAAAATGAATAATAATGATTTAAGTATACATTGAAAAATACAAATGGAGTGAACTATGGCATGCCATGTGAGAAGATTAACAATTTCACTTAAGGCGAGATACTGTACGTGAGCATGAGAAAATCGTACATTTAAAGATATCAGTTTTAAACTTCTTCTGTAGTTTACTCACATGAGTGTCAGAAAAATGTACTGCAAGATTTTCATCATTTGCCATTTTTGTAGAACTATAAAAAGGTATTTATGTGTAAAACAGCCAAAACCGACAATTTTTAGAACATATGAATCTCAAAAATAGATGGAGTCAGGTTAAAATTTCTTGATTAATTTTGTTGTAACATTATACTTATTTAGCATTTGAGTAAACTGGAGTCAAAACTTTAATAAATCAGACTTTGAATTAATTGTAAAAGATTGGAAAGTGTATGTTTGTAGGTGCTACTGAAAGGGGTGATCCATATGACACAAACTCTATGGCTGTAAGTAAATTAAGTTACATATTAACACATCTTTTGGTGCAAAGTGGACAGTTTAATGGTTTCCATGTGCCAGCTTGTTTGCTGAGAGACCCAACTCACCATGAAAACACAAAAAAAAAAAAAAAGTTTTGAAGTGTTTCCCCTTAAGTGCATATAAAAGGGAGGTCAATCCATCTCTGAACAGAAACTGTACTGTCGCCCATTCACAGCTCCATCCTCAAACCCAAAACAAAGAATACAATAGGGCTTGTTAGTGTTAGCTTCTGCCTTCAGACACATATTTAAGTCAGTGAATAACTCTTAATATCATTATGTTATCTATACATTTGAGTGAAATAAGTAGACCTGTCATATCGACATTTTTTAACACTTTTTTTTTTTGTTCCCAGGGAAAGGCTGGTGATGGCCGAAGCGGTGTAGAGAGTGGGAAAGGCATTAGTGACACAGAACATATGGTATTCAATCACAATATGACGTATATTAAAGCTAGTATAAAGTGCTTACCTAAAACATGACACTGAATTCAAACCTTTCCATAATGACACAGGAGCGTTTGCTAAAACCTCTCAGTGGATTCTCAGGGATAACTGGAGAAATGAGAGAACTCGCTACCATCATTAGTAGGGTAAATATAATATTTCACAGATATAATTTTCTTTTATTTATTGTATAGAACAAATGCCCTTTCTATTCTATTGAATTAAATGGGAGATATTCTCATGTCTAGGGTGAACAGAGCTCTGTGTCCCCTGTCTCAGGAGTTTTATCCAAAACCAGTGATTTATTCTAGTATTAATACAAGAAATGTCTCAGGTGTCCCTATTTTGACCAATTTGATATGAGGAAATAGTAAAGGGTGTGATATATTGTAATCTGTTAAGTTAAAATACAGAAAACTCTGCTTGAAAATGAGCACAAGGCAAAAAATGCACCAACAGAAGTCCCTCAGATTATATACTGACCCACAAATCAAGAATGGACAATGTTACACATTATTTTCACAATTTTATTTATACCAACCATCCCAACCTGGGTGTGTCCCAGTCTTTTATTTTGAAAATCTGGTCACTCTAACTTAGAGGTAATGCAATACTGCAGAATATTACATTGAGTTGTACTGAGCCTTACCCTCATACTGTATAAAGAAGTGGACTAACATTGACTGAAATATCAGATTCTGTGCATTCTTTAACATTTTGTCCTTCAAATTACATAAACATCAACGTAAATGAGATGTTAAGTCCCGACAGTTTGTACTTCTACTCAAGTAACATAATATGAAGTAACATTACTCTTACTGGAGTCCATTTTCAACTGCTCTACCCACCTCTGAACATACACTGCGATATTTAGCCTGAGCACAAGGGAGCAGCACAAATCCTTTCCGAAAATGAATTGACTTACTGTATAAATTAATCTCTATGTTTTGTCTATTTCCCTTATGCTCTGCTCCATTCTAAAGGACACCTATTTAGGCACCCCATCCAGTGACCTAACCTTCTGCGTACCTGTGTGTGTGTCCCTCTTAGGACATCTATTTGCACAGCCCAAACGTGCGCTGGGAGGACATCATCGGGCTGGAAGACGCTAAACGATTAGTCAAAGAGGCCGTCGTCTACCCTATTAAGGTACGTATGCAATTTCAACATTTGGCTCGCTTAGATTCTGAATACATCACCTTTAGCCATTTTTTCATCATTAAAAACATAGACCTAGATTAATACGAGCCCTTTAATGCCGTATTGTGGAGTATTCTAAGCAAAGCTTGGGCATAACATTTCCACAGAGGCAAGCAGGTGGTGGACTTTTAATAAAAAACACTGAATGTACAAAATCTTCTATGAATATGCATATGACATGTAACATCTTTGTCTCTACAGTACCCTCAGTTATTTACTGGGATTTTGTCACCATGGAAGGGCCTGCTGCTCTATGGACCCCCAGGTATTTCATTTACCACATTAGGCAGTAAAATATATTGTTACTTAGAATATTTTGTCTACATATTTCTGGTCTATTACGCAGGTACAGGGAAGACTATGCTGGCCAAGGCTGTGGCTACAGAGTGCAAGACCACCTTCTTCAACATCTCTGCCTCCAGCATCGTCAGCAAGTGGAGAGGAGACTCAGAGAAACTAGTCCGGGTATGTACCAACTAAATATTATATTAGATGTGTAGAGGTTTGTTTCTTGAGCAGTTACATAACTTTTAGAAGAAACTGCACTTGTAGTAGTAGTTTTGGTACAAATGCTCTTTCTGTGCAGGTATTGTTTGAGCTGGCCAGGTATCACGCTCCATCCACGATCTTCCTGGATGAACTGGAGTCCGTGATGAGTCAGAGAGGGTCAATTATGGGGTACGTAAATCTTAAAGAAGAAATTATTCTTTTTTGTAGATATTTAGTTTTAACACTATAACACACATAAATTATGAGTTTACATTTGTTCATTACATTACATGAGTTCGTTACATTTGTTCATTGTAATTATCAGTATTGATCTAAGACCGACATTTTCTGAGCACTCCTGCCCCAAATACAGCTCAATACAGGATTACTCAATGAAAATAAAATAAATAAATAATAGAAAATGATGAATTCCATTGTCCTACTACTCAGGTTAAGGTATACTTTATTCACAGCTCTTGTGAGGAAAATTCCTGTCTGGTGCCATAAAATGTGTGTTGTTTTCCAGAGGGGAGCATGAAGGCAGTCGCAGGATGAAGACTGAGCTTCTGGTTCAGATGGACGGACTGGCCAGATCAGACGACCTGGTGTTTGTGCTGGCTGCCTCCAACCTGCCCTGGTAAATCAGTGCATTATGTAGACATTTAGATTTAGATATTGTGAGGCAGTTAGCACTTTCACCTGACAGCAAGAAGGTCCTGGGCTCGACTTCAATTTATTGTCGAGTGTGTAAGTTCGGTCTGTCCGTGCCTGTGTAGATTTCCTCTGGGTCCTTTTGTTTTTTCTGTCACTAAATAAATAAACAATATGGTCCCCTGGGGTCAGGACTTAGCCTGATTCATTAGCCACTTTCACTTCATGGAAACCATCTGACCTCGCAGCATTAGAATTTGTTAGCTCAATGGTAGGCGGGTACTTCTTTTATTTAAACAATCGCTGTGTAGTAACGTATGTGATGAGCCGCTAACGGGGCTAACTGGTATATTAAGCTTTTTCCAAATGCAAATAATGTCTTTCCCCTTGATAAAATTCACCAAACATTCTCTTTGTTTCGGCTTTAAATCCTCGATCATTGCCAACGCAGAATGTATCTCTTCACTGATTGGTTGGTGTCCAGACTCTCACTTCTGGGGTTCTTGCAAACCGTCTAGTGTATTCGATTCCCGATCTAGTCACTGGAGAGAAATTAAATTGAGCGGACTCCCCATCCATCCATCCATTTTCGTCCGCTTATCCGGGGCCGGGTCGCGGGGGGGAGCAGCCTAAGCAGGGACTCCCAGACTTCCTTCACCCCAGACACGTCCTCCAGCTCCTCCGGGGGGACCCCGAGGCGTTCCCAGGCCAGCCGAGAGACATAGTCCCTCCAGCGTGTCCTGGGTCTTCCCCGGGGCCTCCTCCCGGCGGGACATGCCCGGAACACCTCCCGAGGGAGGCGCCCAGGAGGCATCCGGAACAGATGCCCCAGCCACCTCAACTGGCTCCTCTCGACGTGGAGGAGCAGCGGCTCTACTCCGAGCTCCTCCTGTGTGACTGAGCTCCTCACCCTATCTCTAAGGGAGCGCCCAGCCACCCTGCGGAGGAAACTCATTTCGAGCGCTTGTATCCGCGATCTCGTCCTTTCGGTCACTACCCAGAGCTCATGACCATAGGTGAGAGTAGGAACGAAGACTGACCGGTAAATCGAGAGCTTCGCCTTTCGACTCAGCTCCCTCTTCACCACAACGGTCCGATACAGCGACCGCATCACTGCCGAAGCTGCACCGATCCGCCTGTCAATCTCACGTTCCGTCCTTCCCTCACTCGTGAACAAGACCCCGAGATACTTGAACTCCTCCACTTGAGGCAAAGACTCCCCACCCACCCGGAGAGGGCAAGCCACCTTTTTCCGGTCGAGAACCATGGCCTCGGACTTGGAAGAGCTGATCTTCATCCCAGCCGCTTCACACTCGGCTGCAAACCGCCCCAGTGCACACTGCAGGTCCTGGCTCGATGAAGCCAACAGAACAACATCGTCCGCAAACAGCAGAGATGAAATCCTGTGGTCCCCAAACCGGACCCCCTCCGGCCCCTGACTGCGCCTAGAAATTCTGTCCATAAATACAATGAACAGAACCGGTGACAAAGGGCAGCCCTGGCGGAGTCCAACATGCACCGGGAACAGGTCTGACTTACTGCCGGCAATGCGAACACAGCTCCTGCTCCGGTCATACAGGGACCGGACCGCCCTTAGCAAAGGGCCCCGGACCCCATACTCCCAGAGCACCCCCCACAGGACACCACGAGGGACACGGTCAAATGCCTTCTCCAGATCCACAAAACACATGTGGACTGGTTGGGCAAACTCCCATGAACCCTCGAGCACCCGATGGAGAGTGTAGAGCTGGTCCAGTGTTCCACGGCCAGGACGAAAACCACACTGCTCCTCCTGGATCCGAGGTTCGACTATCGGCCGGATTCTCCTCTCCAGTACCCTGGCATAGACCTTACCGGGAAGGCTGAGAAGTGTGATCCCCTATAGTTGGAACACACCCTCCGGTCCCCCTTCTTATACAGAGGGACCACCACCCCGGTTTGCCAGTCCAGAGGCACTGTCCCCGACCGCCACGCGATGTTGAAGAGGCGTGTCAGCCAAGAGAGCCCCACAACATCCAGAGACTTCAGGTACTCAGGACGGATCTCATCCAACCCCGGAGCCTTGCCACCAAGGAGCTTGCCAACCACCTCAGTGACTTCGGCCAGGGTGATGGATGAGTCCCCCAGCCTCGGCCTCCTCCTCGGAGGACGTGACGGTGGGATTGAGGAGATCCTCAAAGTATTCCTTCCACCGCCGGACAACGTCCCCAGTCGAGGTCAACAGCTCTCCCCCCGCACTGTAAACAGTGTTGGTGAAGAACTGCTTTCCCCTCCTGAGGCGCCGGACGGTTTGCCAGAATCTCTTTTGAGGCCGTCCGATAGTCCTTCTCCATGGCCTCCCCGAACTCCTCCCAGCTCCGAGTTTTTGCCTCCGCGACCACACGGGCTGCAGCACGCTTGGCCCGCCGGTACCCGTCAGCTGCCTCAGGAGTCCCCCGAGCCAGCAAGGCCCGATAGGACTCCTTCTTCAGCTTGACAGCATCCCTTACTTCCGGTGTCCACCACCGGGTTCTGGGGTTGCCGCCGCGACAGGCACCACAGACCTTACGCCCACAGCTCCGAGCAGCCGCATTGACAATAGAGGCCGGCCAGCGGACTCCCCTGAAAAAGAAATTCCTAAAGGGCCCATTTTACGCTATTTTCTGATCTCGGTTATAATGTAGTTTTCTAGGCTGAGTTCTTCTCTCGGACAAAAAACACTCTGTTCCACCTTGTGAAGTTACATGGTAATACAGGAAGTGCTCCACTGTGTTTTTTAAACTACATTTGTCCTCACTAGAATCATTTACATGATTTCAGCCCTGGAATTGCCAATCTCTATGTAACTAAAATTAAAAGGAGCTGTTAACAAGAAAACTAACACTTCATGACAGGAACAGAGCATTTTGAGCTCTAGACAGAAGCAGACAGATGTAAAAATAAAGGGTTGCTCAAATTTGTATAAACGAAACAAAACACAACTCCCAAATGTATTTTCATGAGGTAACATTACAGCATTACTAAAACAATTGCTAAAACAATTAATATAGGACATTTAACTCAACGGTGAATGTGAATTAACACAAAGACACCTGCTGGCTAAAGTAGTAACTACAATGTATTTTATCTACATTTTTGAAGTGTAGTCACGAATTCTGTTGTTGTGTCCTTTGGCAAGACACCTCTGGCACAGGACTGACCCCAGCAGCAGTAAAATTCATTATGCTGAGGCTGAGGCTTTCACACACTGTGGGTCAATGCAATTTTGGAGTTGTTCTTGAAAAACAGAAGCATTTATCTACACACATTACAGACTGATCAATGATCATGATAATAAATAGATTTGACTCTTTTTGGTGTTGTGTTCAGGGAGTTGGACCATGCGATGCTCAGGAGGCTGGAGAAGAGGATTCTGGTGGGCCTCCCCTCTGCCCCAGCACGACAGGCTATGGTCTCACACTGGCTGCCCCCACTTCGCTCCACACAGGGAGGCGTGGAACTGCGCACTCAGCTCGACTATCAAACACTCGCCAAGGTCAGTCGCACAAAAGGAATCAAACACTGCTCATTTACTTGTGCATAACTTTAAAAAATATTCAATGCTAATACAGAATGTACAGACACAACCATTGATTCCAGTGATCTAACATACATTAATAATAATGATTCATATTATAATAATCAAATAATTTATATTTTAATTAGCTTTTTAAAATATATATATTTAAGTTTTGTTTGGTTGAACGGTAAAGGGCCTATATTATGCTATTTTTTGATCTGTTATAATGTTTTTTCCTCATCAAAATCATAATCATATAAATCCAGCATAATTATGCAGAGTTTTTCTCTCAAAATAGAAAACACTTTGTTCCACATTGTGATGTCGTTTGTGTGATATGCATATGGTAATACTGTGTTTTTAACTCCATAAACTCCAAACACAAAAATAATTTTAGATCATTTGCAAAGATTACATGTGGAAACTTGTAGAAGAGCATAACTCTAAAATAGTATACACTAAGCAAACAACTATTAAACATGCAGTATTTAAAGGCGACATAAAAATTTCACTTCTCTGAACTTTTTAGTATTGCATTAAAGGTAAAGGAAACAGGGTAGACACTACAGGCAGCAATACATTTTGATTATGGGAACTGTATTCTTATGCATTTTATTGGCGGGCCTTAGAACAGAAATTAGAAATCGTCTTGTGGGTCAGTAGAAATGATCTCAGGTGCCTCATTTGGCCCCCAGGCAGCAAATTTGAGACCCCGGTTTTAGGGGTTACTTCTGAACCAAAGACAATAGGAGCTGTTAACTTGAAAATGACTGTTTCATGGCATCACGAGGTGGAACAGAGGTTGTAGATTTGGTGTCAAATTAAATCGATATATAAAACAACAAAATTGTTATGAGTGATGAGAAGTCTTGACAGACTGGATTACCTTAAATCTCAGCTTTATACATTGCACCTAATGATAAAATATAAGACACTGATTTGATCTGTAACTTATTTTTCACTCAAACTGTTACTTTTGCACTTTTAATTCTCAACTCTCAAAATAAACTCAAACACAGCCATAATAAATAAATAAAAAAAACTACATTTTATTATTGTGTCATTTTCTTGTAGGAGTTGGAGGGTTACTCTGGCTCTGATATCACTTTGGTTTGTAAGGAGGCTGCTATGAGACCTGTGCGGAAGATCTTTGACGCTCTCGAGTCCATTCACAATGGTGAGAACTACATATTACACATCTACTATTAGCTATATTTATATTAAATATATAAAAAAAAAAACATGCTGATTCCTCCTCAGGCGATACAAATACTCCTGCCATCTGCTTGGACACTGTGACTACGGCTGATTTCATGGAAGTTCTCGCCCACACCAAACCCTCAGCCAGGAGCCTCATGGACAAATACACAGCCTGGGAAGGAGAGTACAAGTCTGTGTAGTGACAAGGACTGGTTGCAAAAGTGTCAATGGTGTTCAGTAGTGTTCAGGAAAAAAAAGAGCTCTTTGGGTGTTCCACAAAATTTCTACGTCATAGGCTAAAAAGTGACTATATTTAGACTTATGTTGAGAGCTTGACAAAGCCTGCCTGCTCATGCTGCCATCTTGGATCAACACTTTGCTTTTATGTTATGACTTTTTAGTGTTATTTACTCATCAAGTTTGTAGTTATCATCGACTCACATTGAAGTATTATTTTTATTGTTCACATTTCTGTCTTGTTAAATAATACATCAACATTTCTCATTAAAAGAGGTGATTTACTGATTTCATCAAGGCTGGACTTCATTTGGGATCTGTTGGCCTTGTACAGCGGCAACTCCATTGTCTACCATCGTTTGCACCATCTTCACTATCGTGGCAGCCGTGTCTGTCCCAGAGTGGGGCGTGATGATGACATTTGGCAGATGCAGAAGAGGGTGATCTCTAGAGAAAAAAAAATTAATAACAGAAACCATGAAAATGTTAAATATGTACACTTCCAGTCAAAAGTATGGACATGTGGACACAGATGTGTTTTTCTGTTTTTATATACATACAGAAGACATAAAAAAGTAAAGAAAAATAACTAAGTAAGTAAATAACTCTTAAATAACTTCAAAAAAGCAAAGGGTGGTTAATTTGAGGACTTTGTTATAAAATATAAATAAAAATATAACAAAAAAATATTTATTAGTTATTTCACTTTTTTCTTTTGCCGCATAACTTATCTTATTTCATATATCTGATGTGTTCCGTCTGTATATCAAATGTATAAAGTAGTAAACATAGAAATAAACACTGAATCAGGGGATGAGTCCAAACTTTTGACTGGTAGTATACCTGGTCCTCAGTAGTGTACAGGCGGGAATGATGGTATAGAAGTCCTTTCTGGAATTCAAGAGTAGCTGACAAATAATTCTGTAAATAATCAAGATTTTTCAGTTCCTTTTAATTGTAAAAGCTACAAATAATAATAGTAGTTTGAAAATTCCCAACATTTCTGAGTTAATGTCCCTGTTGTAAATTTTCAGGGAATTTTCTGTCCCTTTGCAACCCTAACTACAAATGCTAATATTTATTTATACTGTCTGTTTATTGTTACTCTGTGTATTCGTGGTTTCTGTTACCTCGGTAAAGGCTCTGGGTAGGTCACATCCAACGCTGCTGCTCGTATTGTCCTATTCTGTAGTGCTTCGACTAAGGCGTCTTGGTCCACAACACGGCCTGATAAAAGCCACAACAGGCACAACTGTATAAGGTTTGTGTTTTTTTTTTTTTTAAAGGTGTACTATGTAACTTCCTGGTTGGGGGTCTGTCACCTGCTTGTTTCTATGGATATGTCATTGCCCTGTCTGGAATGTTCCACAATGTGACATTTAACAGCTCTACCTTACGTTTATTCAGTTACAGGTGGGTTTATAGCTTTAAAATACCTAGAAAAACAGGCATTCTGACAGTGGGGTTGCCTCTCCACAGATCTGACCTAGAATTTTGTCTGTTTTGGTTTCAATGATCATGGGAAGGTTTAAAGTCATACTGTGAAACATTCCAGACTTTAAATTCAAAAGGAAGAATGTGTAACCTGACAATTGACAGTAGTGCGTTTATCCATCCATACCACGCACTATCCATCTCTATTAATTATATTTAAATATAATAGCTGGTGTGTTAAACATGTGAATGAAACAAAAAAACTCTGGGTATGTTTGTGATAAAGAAACAACATTATAACATAAATCAGAAATAATAATAATAATAATGCATCAGTTTTATAATGCTTTTTGGACACTCAAAGATGCTTTACTGAGCATTATTCATTCACTCCATCCTTTGTGGTGGTAAGCTACTATTGTAGCTGCCCTGGGGCAGACTGACGGAAGCGAGGCTGCCTATCTGGGCCCTCGGTCCCTCCAGCCAACATCAACACTCACGCACACACCACTTTCATACTAGGCAATGTCGGTGAAGTTTCTTGCCAAAGGACAACAACAGTTTTTATGACTGTCACCCCACTGTGGCACCTGATTTTCCCAGTGGTCTCCCATCCAAGTACTAACCAGGCCCAGTCCTGCTGAGCTTGTGAGATCTGACAGGATCAGGCTTTGACAAACTGGTTAGGCCACATACCATGGCCATGATCAAATAGTGTAATATGGGCCCTAGATTCTCATCGTTCTAAAACTCATGGTGGAAGTTTTCACTGACCTCGGCTGATGTTGACCAGCGTTGCCGTGGGTTTCATGAGGGAGAGCTCTTTGTGCCCGATGAGCCCTGTGGTTTCTGGGGTCAGGTTCACCGCCAGCACCACAAAGTCAGCCTCTCTGAGCAGCTCCTCCTTGTTTTTAAAGTACACAGCTCCTACAGCCTGTTCATCTTCATACGACCTGACAAAAAACACCATGTCCATAATATTACAGGAGCATAGTTTTGATTCGTAAGTCCTAGTTTATGCAGGTTGATACGACGATGTAGTGTAAGATTGGACTATGGTATGACACTTAGGGCTGCATGGATCAATTCTGTCATGTAGCCCTGACTAATGCACCTTACAAAATATCACTGACTTGAAAAGCCTTTTTTTAAAAACTGTATTGCATAATATGTACATATTATATTTTACACTACTTCTTGTTTTTCTAGTTTTTCTTTGGATAGACTTCTATTTTGCCAATTTTGATGAGAAGTTTGAGGACAGACTATAGACACTCGTAAGAATGATCAACTATAAACATTCATATTCAGCAGTTGTGTGTAGATTTACTGCAGCCTACAGCCAGCTCATGGTGTCGTCAACATTTCCTGAAAAGCTAAACTAGAGGCTTTATTTGAAAATCAACACCTAATCTCCTGTGAATGATCGTATTAATCACAGACTATGTGCTTAAATCAGTGTTGTATTATTTCTGGAGTTATAAGACAATCTAAAAATAGTATTATATTAATATATGAGGAAAGAAATAAGCAGATTTGAGTGTTTGTAGTTTTTTCAAACTAATTTGGGTGCTTTCTCACAACTATGAACCTCATGTATTTACAAACTAATAAAAAGTGTATAATATCAGTGTCCTTTTACCGTCTATTTCTGTTGTGGTACAAAATCTTCATATCAAATCCTCTTCCTCTTTGAGCGATTTTGAATCCAATGTGCCCCATCCCAATAATACCGAGTGTGGAGCCTGTCACCTCAAAACCCATTTGAGTGCGTGGAAATTTAGTCGTGTTTGGGTCTACGCAGATCAGATGACCTGGGAAAGAAACACAAGAACATTAGATAAATGTGCTACATTTCTACATTTTTAAACAGGTACTTTAATACTTTTAGTTAAGTAGACTTTTTCATCTGACTTGAGTATTTTTTTGCTCCTCTGTCTGTACTTATACTTAAGTAACAAAATTGAGTACTTCTTCCACCACTGCATTACATTACTGTGTTTTTTTTAAATAATTGTTGCCTAAGTTGTGTCTCCTAAATCCTTTATGGTTTAGTTGGCTTGACGTCGTTAGCAATTCACAGAAAACAGCATTGGTTAATATTCATTTACAAAGCTGTACTGGAGTAACTTCGCGAATACTTTAGTAATCTCCTGAATATCGGCTCAGGTAGTTACCGGCTTCGCTCCTCTTCATAGTTACAGCTCCATGGTCTTGGAATAATTTACAGAAAGTTCCACAGTATGATATTAAACAGCTCCACCTTACATTTATTCAATCACAGGTGATTTTATGGCAAAGAAATACCTCAAAAAACAGGCATTCTGACTGTGAGCTTCTACACAGATCTGACCTGGTACTTGGTCTAGTTTGGTCTTCATGATGATAGAAAGGTTTAACATCATACTGTGAAACATTCCAGACCATGGAGAAAAGCTTTTGACGGACACTCTACCACAAAAGTTACACTATGCTATCCTGATTCATCAGCCGGTTTCACTCCATGGAAACCTTCTTTTTTATTTAACCAATCGCTGATATTTGGTTGTGACGTATGTAATGCACCAAATCCCGTAGGAACGAGGGCAATAACATCTTTCCCCTTGATAAAATTCACCAAACATTCTCTTTGTTCTGGCTTTAAATCTTCGATCTTGGGAATCGTTGCCAACACAGAATGTATGGCTTCGTCTACATCCATCTTGACGCTTTGTTTACTGTTGTGCTGTACCAGACAGGCGTTTGAGTTTGATGTGATGGCTTCACAGCTCTTCTCTGATTGGCCGTTGCGCGGTCTACAACTTCCGGGATGCTTGCAAACTGTCTACTGCAGGCATGTCCAAACTATGGCCCGGGGGCCAAATGCGGCCCTCAGACAAATTTTTCTTGGCCCTCAGGCTTCCAGGTTAATTGGCCCAAATTGCCTTGCATCAATTAAAAATTTACATTTTACTGCAAGTTTTTTGAAAATCTACCTTGATAAAGCCAATATTCAATATTTAGTGTGTGGTTTTAAGGATCTTAGCATGAATAAAGACTGATGGCTCATTTTAACATGTTTAAACATGCACAAATTTCAGTTATTCACTATATTGCGTTCCAGTCTACGGCCCTCGATCGACCCTCTGCTTCATCTGTGTTTAGATATGTGGCCCTTGATGAAAAAAGTTTGGACACCCCTGGTCTAGTGTATTCCGATTCCTGACCTAGTCGCTGAAGAGAAATTAAATCGAGCGGAGTCAGTAGGTGGCCCCAGCCTGGCTAACACAATGCACCTTTAAACTGGAATCTATGGTGTCACTTGATAAGTTCAAGAAAATTGTGAGAAAAGTGCAGTGACTGAGACATGAGATGCAAACGGTTTTATAATGTGATACTTTGTGATTTTACTATTTTGTACTGATTATTTTTTTAAAAGAGAGTCTGAATCTCAATGGAAACTCCTGGTTAAATAAAAGTAAATTAAATAAAAGTAAAATAAAAGTTACCTTCTACAATCCTGCGTGCGGATGCCAGGAGCAGGCCCATTGCCATGTCAGCTGTAGCGTTACTGACCACATGAGGCGTATTACTCACTCTTATGCCCAGACTCTTTAGATGGGCGATGTCCAAATGGTCAATGCCCACTCCTCCATTGGCGATTAACTTTAAGGCTGGTAGTGAACTAATGAGAGATGGCTCAATTTGAGGCTTATTGTCCCACAGAAACACAACTTGGATCTTGGAGCTGAGAGAGGGGTTTTGGAGAAATTCTTGATGAGTGATAATCTGGAAATGTTGCTTCATAATGTCAACAGCTTCTTGGATGAAACCCTCTCCACCAACTTCTGAGATGAGAGCACAGGGTTTGTCCTGAGCCATTGCCTTTGCACACAAAAATCAATATATTATTATCAAATGCTCACATACTGATACAGAAAAACATGAGTAGACGCTACATCCTGAAAAAGCTCAGATCTTTCAATGTGCGCAGCAAGTTACTGGAGATCTTCTACCAGTCTGTGGTGGCAGCGTCCTGGACTTTTCTGTGGTCAGGAACATTGGGCCGACTGACAAACAGATCCATAAAACTGGTCACGTGATCGGCTGTGAGCTGGAGATTTTTGTCACAGTGAGGAACAGGAGGACACTGGACAAACTGCTCTCCATCATGGACACTCCTGCTCACCCACTGCACCAGACTATAGAGAGACAGATAATACTTTCTACAACTGTACAACAACTCACCCACAGCACCAGACTATAGAGGGACAGAGGAGCTCATTGTCCGTCAGGCTCCAACAGCTCCACTCAGTGAGAGATACAGGACTACATTCATACTATAACACTCCCTACAACTGTACAATACCTCACACTTATGTAACAGATAACCCTATGTCCTGTCAGTCATTATTTCATTTTTGCACTGTTTTTCTTAAGACCTCTTCTGTATAAAGCTGAGATATTTTTATTATTTGTTTCTATATTTTATTTTGATTTGTACATTTACATTTATAATTATGCCTTATTTGACATCAGTCTCTATTTCTGCTATTTATTTAGAATGTATTATACCATTCATATGTTTCTCTTTGTTATTATAATATGCTGTGAGCTGCTGTGTCCAAATAATTTGCCTTGTGGATCAATCAAGTTAGTCTAAATCTAAGTCTAACTCAGTACTTTTTTTTTTATTCTTGTGTATTGCATCTGTAGCCTAATTGTACAAACTCATCTTCAGAACCTGACATTGACGGAAAAGTGACAGCATTAAATGTGTCTGGTGGAGCTTCTGCCATGTTATTATTTGCCTGGAATGTTCCACAGTATGGCATTAAACTGATCCATCTCAGTGTAGACAAGTGAAATCACCAGGTCAATTTCCAGGTCAGATCTACAGGGAGGGCACATTATCATTTTTAAACATATATAAAATACCTGTTGGATTGGATAGATGCAAAATGGATAAGTTTAGTAATTTCATACCATAGAACATCTTTTTATTATTGCTTTGTACCACATTACCTTTCCCTCTTTCAAACAAACTGGTGACCAAAATACACATCACATAAGAGAAAGCTCACTCGCAGTCAGAGGTGGATGAAGTACTCAATTTTGTCACTTAAGTAAATTTCAGATACAGGGCATTACTCAGTTAAAGTAAAAATATCACATATAAAAATCCACTTAAGTAAAAGTACTGAAGTTTCCATTTGAAAATGCACTTTTAGAGTAAAAGGTAAAGGTACTTCACATAGATTATGAGAACTGTTAAAGTGTTAAATGTAGTGATATTGATCAAGAACTGAGCAGTAACAATGTCTTAATTGTTCTGTGGAACTGTGTGTAAATAATTAGTTTGCTCAAAGCCGGAAGTCCAAACCTTTTTTTCAGGATGTTACCATGAATGGGCTAAAACAACCACTCAAATCACATAAAAAGTACTTTTCAGTCCAGTTAAAAAAAATGTACTGGAGTAGAAAGATATCTGCTCTCAAATGTAAAAGTAAAAAGTATCCACTATAAAATGTACTTAAGTAAAGTACAGATACCTAAAAATTGTACTTAAGTAGAATATGTTTACTTTTGTACTTTGTTACTTTCCACAACTGCTCACAGTGCATGAAGGTTTTTAAGGTAGGCTATATTCAACTTTAACTTTATAACTTTGCCATGATGTGAGTTATTTTAAGCACAAAAACTTCACTGTGAATAGGCTAAATAACTGAGAAAACTTTTAAGACTACTCCTTACCCAGTGAATTTTGTTTTCCCTTTGATGCAGAGCTGTAAAACATGCACTTGCAATAGGTCTTGCATAGTTTTTTAACGCGTTATTTCCAACCCCATAGAGTGCAGAGGATATATGTTTCAACATTTTGGAGCTATAGGTCATTCACTTGTGAATCATTCAACCTGGTAACATGTGACCAGCTGACCATAAACCAGGGGTGGGCAATTATTTTTTCCATGGAGCACCGGGCCAAAATGCTTTTCATGCTACAAAATATTAATTGTATTTCTTTCTAAAAAGCAGTACATAGCATTGTTTTGATAAGATGGTAAGACTGGTAAGAGCATAAGTTATGACTAACCGATGACAAAGTGAGGCTGCCTTATAAAAATGTCATTTAAAAAACACCTCTAAAATAAAAGCAATGCAGCTTTAGTCCATGCATAAGGTAAAATGATAAAATATGTTTATTTTGTAACTCCAAATTATCTTAAACGGGAGCCAACCAAAGAACTGTATATGTATAATGCTCAGGTCCATGCGCTTTGTCTGTGCATATTAAGAGACACAGATTTCCGGCGACCCTAAGTAACAATTATAAACCAATTATAAACCAAATTTACTCACAGATCTTCTTGCAAGTTGCAGCCGGTTACAAGTACACCAGGAGCACTAATTATTTACATTGTTTGTGTTTGTGTAACCCCTTTAACCGGAAGAACTTCAGATTAAAATAACTTTAAAACTAAATTTGCTGTTCGGCCACTAGATGGAGCTAGAGTTCAAACAAACCAAGGGTCCCACAAGAGCACGTGTATAATCCAAAATCATTAATCTGTTAATACACAAATAAAATAATCCAAGCCTCACCAGTTACACATTTTCCTAGAGCTTGTTTTTCACATTTTATTTATTTATTTATTTATGCCTGAAATCCTAGATTAAATTCAAAATGTAAACTTATTTATTGTTTTTTTATTTATTGTTCATGCTATTATTTTGTCGGCATCAATTTAAAGCGAACAACAGCAACATCAACAAATCTGAAAATTAACATATATACATATTTCTAAGATTATTTGCCTTGTCTTTGCTGCATGAATAAAAGGAACAGGAAGAAGATAAATCTTATCCTTGCACAGATCAAAAAATTTAACATTTCATTAATAATCGTTCCCCACCCCATAAACCAAACCACCAGTCACCAGTCAATAATCCATATGCATGTTACAGTATCTCTCTTGTGCTTTCTTTAACTTTAAACATTTTCCTTAGTCACATAGTCCATCATTATTTTATCTTTGTACATTTTTTTGAATTTAAAAACACGGGTGCAACTTTTAAAATCATGATTTAACAAATTCCATATCTTGACTCCGTACACAGAGACACATTTCTGTTTTAATGTCACTTTGGGAAAAAATATTGTCTTCTGTGGTCACAGTCCTTCGAGACAAACATAAAAAGATTTTGTAGAGCTTCAGGTACTATACTGAATTTAATTTCACAACTCACACTGAGCCACCGTTTTAAAAAAGACTGGATTAGGCCCAACATGTGTCTGCAATCTGTGTGTATTATTATAGTCAGAGGGCCAAGCTCTCTGTATGTGATCAACAGCTAAATAAAGACATGCAAGTGCCATCGAGGTGTAAATATTATTGCCTTATATTCCTATATGAACAAAGGGACATGTTGTGAGCGAACATAACGACCTATATACAATGATAGACATGGGGCAGATTAAATATCACAGAGACGCTATTCAATGTTAACAATAAAAAATAAATTTGGCTACTTGTGATACAAACAAACATAACTGCAGATGTGTACAAATACATGAAATAAATAAATACATTCTCTGTCAAAAACGTTTCTCCATTTGTCAGAATTGAATTTCTCCTTTGCTATGTCAAATTTAAAATAACAGTGTCATTAATCTGGCTGAATTTGCATCTGTGCCTAGTTCAAAGGATATTGGCAGCAGATGCAAAGTACACAATATTCCAGTTGGCACAAATATTGCCCTGCATCATTGGCAAGCCTGACCGACTGTAAAGTGTATAATTTCAGGCCTATTGAAACCATAAAAGGCCTTAAATAGAAGAGCAGATGAGTAGCAGAACTTGACTTGAGCATTTTAATTATGTAAAACAAGCCGTAACTGTTGATAGACACTTGCTCTTCAAGGTCACCATGTCAAAGCTTTAGTTTGAGTATAAATTATTGTAAATTTGACTTGAAATGCATTTACTTTTATATCTCTCTGCAGCAGGTTTGTGACTGCAAATATAGAGTCCAATGAATTTTTATCTATTTAGAGGATTTCTCAAATATGTTTATAAGCTTAATTGGTATTATAACTTTGACATGAAAGTTTATTATTAAAAATAGCCAATAGGTCTATATTTTATTTATTTATTTATTCAATATTTTATTAGGTAAGTCAGTTGAGAACATCTCATTTGCAGTGACGACCTGGCCAAGAGGCAGTTTAAAAAAGTACAAACAGAAAACACTCACACATCAATCATAACATGAAGCAGTGAACAGAGACGTGAGACAGGGAAACATTTATAGATTAAAGATATAAAAGTGTAAAAAGCATGTGCAATGATCCTGTAAAAGAACAAAGTTTTAAAGTCTTTTGAAGGTGGTTCCAGTCACTGCTGCAGAGAACTGGAAAGAGGAGCAGCCCAAAGCTGTGCGGGCTTTAGGAATGATCAGGGTCAATGTATCTGTTGGATATCTGAGGTAGGATGGAGTTTTACCTATTAAACATCTGTAAATGAACAATAACCAGTGAGTTTGTCTGCGTTGCAGGGAGAGGGTCACTTCACCAAGGAATAAAGTGCGCAGTGATGAGTGGTAAAGGGTGCACCTGTGACAAAGCGGATTGGGCAGTGACAGGGCTTCCCCATGGGTTCCCTCTGTCCTTATCTCTATTAAACAAAAGCTATGCTGCGTGTCTCTGCTGTCTTGGCAGTGGCTTGACAGCAGCCTGGAGCATGTCCTGGTTGAGAATAAACTCACCTGCTGCTAATCCTTTAGTCTGCTGCTCATGACGCATCAGCTGTACTCAGACGAGAGGATCACCTGCACAGACTCTAAGAGGACTGTGAGAGGAATGCACACATCCTATACTCTACGCACTGCATGCAAACTTTTAAAGCATTTCACTTTTGTCAGTGTTTGGAGCCAAAAAATGATTAAACAATTGCCCAGTATTATAAATCCAAACGTAAATGTTCAGCATTTAATTAATTGTTGAAATATTTCACCTCAAATAATGATGCTTAATTATGAGTTGGTGTTTGTTTGGTGGCTTTGGTGGAGTATTTGTTAGGGTGTAGTTAAATAAGAATTTTAGTTAGAAACACTGCATTGTTTGTCAGTAAATGCAGCCCCATCACTTTCTTGATGCAGGTATTGGCTGCCAGGGAGCTTAGATCACCTTTGAAACTTTGGTCTTGGTCCATGGTGATCCTGAAGGCTCAGAGTAAGGTTAGTTAGGTAACAGGTGTAATCAGTGAGAGCCAGTTTCTTGTCCCTCTCCTTCATTCAACACCAGCTCCTTATCCCTGTGTTTAAAGCTGCGTTACCTAATGGCAGTGCAGCCCGTGCAGAAACATGGGGACTTGGACTCCTCTCTCAAAGCCTCTTGAGCTTCAGCAGGACTGGCCTTTGAGTGTAGATGCTTTTGTTGAACGGATCAGTGTTATGCAAGGAAGTGAGAGGGTTGAAGCATCAACCGAGCAGGGACTGTTCCAAACATGCAGCAGCATTATTTATGATCTTAAAATCACATTGCTTGATTTGAATACATAAAAATTATCATAAGTAAACATTATTGTATCTCAAAAAGTTGCACCACTCGGTTATGTCGAGTATTTTATAGCTTTTCTGTTCAAACTCTACTCATATATGATTGCACACAAGGTTATTCTGCATTAGTCTTGTTTGACAAAGTATATTCATTTAGATTTCAAAAGTAAACCAAACATAATGCATGTGGCAAAATGCATTAATTTAAAATCCAAGTATTTTCTACAACTTTAAAAGCATTAGTTAAGTGCTTGTTTACACTTTTTCCCTCCTATTTTGTATATATATTTATATTTTTTTAGATCTGAAATCACTTGGTTCTAAAATGTCAGACGCCCAACAGTGTTCACTCCTGTCTGTCCGTGACAGGGCTTTGCTGAGTCAGCCCAACAGAGGTGTGCTTTATAAGGCCATTAAGAAAATGCTCCCTGGGACAGTGTGGCTTTGACTTCTACTAATCATCTTAGGCAAAGCATGGCGCCCAATGTGCCTGAGCACACCTGTGCTATACTGCTGCTATATAATCTTTATTTCTTTTATTTCCAAGCAACTGCAGCACTGCGAGCACTCATACACATGAGAAAGATGAGATCTATATTCAAATACGAATAAGCCACAGGAAACCTTTGATTTCCTCTCCATGTGCCACATTTATGTTTTTGTTAAGCAGCAGGCTTGCAAATGCACAACAAAATGCAGACTAAATAAACAAATTAGACTTAATTCATACGAAATGTAAAAGCCTTTCACCTGAAATAAGCTTGCATTTGCATAAAACTCTATTTGGGAAACATGATGTTTGATGCTCTTCAATTACAGCAGGTATTTATTATTTTATAACTTTTAAACAGTAGAACGCTAGTAATGTCATGCAGGTTTTTTATAACATTTCCATTTGCACACTTTATGTATTATTTTTGTGTTCATTCAGGGGTGTGGTATGATTTGCTGCACTGAAATTAATTATTAATTAATTATTATCTATTATCTTCCCTTTTAACAGTATTTTTCATTGCAGTTCTTATCATTACTTAGACTTAGACAGACTTTATTGATCCACAAGGGAAATTACTTGGACCATTATTTAACTTTTCTTTTGCCTCATTGCTTTTTGCAAGCACATTGTTTGTCTAATAATTTTACCCTGCAATTAGCACCTTATGCTGCAATGTTTTTTCACACAGCAGAACAGATTACCCCTCTCCTCCTCCTGGCCTCCTGTAGTATGAGCCTTTCCCAACTGTGGACAGATGTAATAAACAGTGCAGCATCCTTTTCTTGGAACAATACCACAACCTAATTAGCCATAAAAGTTAGGGTGACCAGATTTTCAAAATTCTAAACTGGGACACACCCCAGTTGGGATGGTTGGTATAAATAAAATTGTGAAAAGAGCATGTAACATTGTGCATTCTCGTGTCAGTCATAATCTGAGAGACTTCTGATGCTGCGTTTTTTTTTTTTTTTTTCCTTTATGGAAGTTCATTTACTGTATTTATATATTTTTCTGTATTTTGGCTAAACAAATGATAATTTATGCTCCTCTTTAGTTCTGGCAGGGATCAGATTAGTCAAAAATTGTGATAGTTCTGTTTTAGGCTGGGTTTAGACCTGGTGTAGTCCAGGTTAGTCTTAGTTTAGTCCTGGTATAAGATCTGTTTTAGTCAGGGTTAGTCTTAGTTTAGTCCCGGTTTAGATCTGTTTTAGTCCGGGTTAGTCTTAGTTTAGTCCTGGTTTAGACCTGTTTTAGTCCGGGTTAGTCTTAGTTTAGTTCTGGTTTAGATCTGATTTAGATCAAATTAGTCAAAGATAGGGACACCTGGGACATTTCTTGTATAAAACTGGGCTCACACAGAGCTCAGAACTGGAACTGTCACAATTTATTCTCCTCTTTATTGTTGGCAGGGATCAGATTAGTCAAAATTGTGATAGTCTTGTTTTAGTTCTGGTTTAGACCTGATCTATGTCTAAGTTAGTCTTAGTTTAGACCTGGTTTAGATCAAATTGGTCAAAAATAGGGACACCTGGGACATTTCTTGTGTAAAACTGGGACAAATCTAGGGTGATCAGATTTTCAAAATAAAATATGGGACATCTCTGGTTTGGGGTGGTTGGCAATAATAAAACTGTGAAATGAGTGTGTAATTAATTGAGGAAAATTGTTATGCACTGTGTATAGTCACATTTTCTTTGTGTTTTGGTCATTTTTATGCAGCTTTTATGTATTTAACATCAACAAATGACAATGTATGCTTCTCTTTACTGTTGGCAGGTGCCAGATTGGTCAAAAATAGGGACACCTGGGACATTTCTTGTACAAAACTAAGACAAATCGTTGGTTTTGCATACATCTGCTGGGACAGGGGACACAGGGCTCAAAACTGGGACTGTCCAGGGTAAATAGGTACGTCTGGTCACCTTAATAAAACTATTAAACTTTGAGGTACATATTACACGCTAATCACATCAGCTGCTAGTGCTAACCGCCGCTGACACCGCCGCCGCCGCTGCTGCTGCTGTTACCAAGACAACAGGGGTGCGCTGTGATTGGCCGCCGCTGTGCCACGTGACCTGGCTGCGCGCTGACGTCATTTTGCGTGGTTGCCTGCGGGGCTGAGCCGTGAGTTTGTGCCGCTGAGCCACAGACTGTATATGCGCTGATCACGGTAAAGCTGCTGGAGTTTGGACCGCGAGCAGCCCGAGAGACAACCTGTTGGCGTCCACAGTCCACGGCCACACTTCTCACCTCGCTGCCAAACTCAAAGGAATGGACTATTAACGCAATCTGAAGACACCCTCCACTTATATTTCAAAGCGAGGTAAGTTGTCGCTAACAAGACAGCCACAGCTCCCACCGTATTTATATATTTTTTTACCATTTCCTGTTGCTCAGGTGAGTCGAGTTTGCAGGTTGATTTTGTAAACTGTCACATTTTACATGCAAATACATTATCGTGGGAATATCAAACGCAATATCGTATTTTATGTATGGACTTTGAGAAGTTTGCAGTGCAGCCGCGCAACAAGATGCTAGCAGTGGATAAAGCTTTGCCCACATTTCTAATCGGATGAAGCTGCTTGTCTTGTCCTAAATGAAGTCACTGAAGGGAGACAAAAAGGGGGCTTGTTGCAGTTAATTCCGCACGTTTTCAGAACACATGGACAAGTGAAAGATAATATAAAGAAAAAAGAAAAAAAACGCATTCTGCCAATACATAGTTGTACAAGGCAAAGTGGGTATCTCATTTCCAACACGAGTCTGTCGATGGAGGCAGCTGCTGCTTTGGGCTGGGGCGTGTGAGTCAACGTGGTTTCGTTTCTTTTTTTTTTTTTTTCTCTTTATCATCCACTTTAAACTGTACATCAATGCTGGATTTAATGTCTTTTGTCAAATGTTTGGGTGTTCATTCACTGACGCTGTGCTGTTGTATAGAGTGACTCATGATCTGAATAATTCAAAGCCAATATGTGCGAGTATTGTGCATTGCATCACTGTTCATTCAGCAGTAATGTGATATTAGGCTTTACGAATTCTTTGAACTAAGAAACCATTTTCCCACAGAAGTTGTTGTATCTGTCTGCATGCCTAGAGTTTGCATGTGGTGACGCCTGTTTTAACTAGGGTAGATTTAATTTAATAAAAGTTAAGGAAATAATTAAAGTATCAAATATTCATTACATTTCTCTTGGGATCACTAAAGTATATCTCTCTCAATAAGAAAATAGTTTTAATTGTTAAACAAAGTGCTGTGCTGCCCTATACTATTTTTTTTTAAAATTATTAATATGCAATAAAAATGTTAATGTTTTGATCATGCTTGACGTTTCATTGTTTCTGATTCCATAAAGTAAAGGTAAACAACAAAAGACTTGAGGATTAAATGGCTGAAGACTCTAAAAATGGCTTTGAGTATTAGGAGATCCTCATTGAGACCAGAGTAAATTATTTATACTTTTGGCTGGTGTCCTGCGGTCGGTGTTTGCATGATTTGGTTTCATGTGGGTTGTAAATGGGAAACCGTATGATTCCATTTCATTTTGGTTGTATCTCTAATTTCTACCTGAGGCTTCGAGTAGAGCATTTAAATGGTTATGTATGTACAGATGCTAATTGTTTTTGGGTGGAGCTGGCGTAATGAGCCTTTAGCTATCAAAGGCAAAAGTCAAAATATTTCAAGATGCTATGTTCTTACAAATGTGCGCTATATATAAAACATGCTCTATTTTTGCCAGTGTGGGTGTCTTGTGGGTTTGTTTTGGGGCAAGACTGACCACACTGCAGCATCCTCTGTAGTTAGATCCGTCTCAGCAGCAGTACTTTGAATTAAATTAGAGCTTTTAGAGGAAGAGGATGGGAACCTAACCCGGCTAAATACAAATGGAAATGTTTGAATGTTTTATGCAATATGTTTTCGAGTAAAGAGTAAAATTCTGCCACAAGAAATCATCATTCACATGTTCAAGAAGTCCTAAAGTGAATTTCTATGCCCTCCCTAATGTACCTTCTTCTGTCTAGATTAGGAACTATCATTACAACTAATTACTTAACGTGACCCCCTATGGCTAAGTTAACAACAAAGCTAGATATTCAGTCCACATTGAGCAAACAGCCCCTTCCCCGTGTAATCACTGACTATTTGGTGTGAGTGTTTGTCCAGACTTGTCTCCCCTCCTGGATGCTACGGACAGTTTTTATCTGGCTGGCTGCATAGGCTTTATATACTTCTTTATACAGTCTATGGTTGGTTGGAGTCTGCTGCCTCATAATAGATCCTCTGTCATGATTGTGGTTTTTCTGCAGAGTCCTGACGCACAAAGACCTCAGACTGACAACACAAGCTCATGTGTACTGCATTATGATGAAGTCCCAGCAGTTTTCTCTCTCTCAATGGGAGGATGGGTTGGCTAAGAGGGGCCAGTGTTTTGAATGGAATGAAAACTTGGTCAAACTCAGTCAGTGGTGCTTGTTATTTGTGTAGAATTTGGAGTTAGTAGTCCTGTTTTTAATCTAAAATGCCAGTCAGAAAGAAGTAATTGTGCCTAGTCCAACTCTGAAAGTCTTGAGTTTATTTTCAGTGTTTATTGTTCAGTGTTCTTTCCTCATAAAAATCATATCTGTTGTTTTCTCGTTTAAAAATGTCCTGTTTGCATTTTGCCCAAATTGTTGCATCATAGGTAAAAATCTGAACAACTACTGTGTTTTTAAATGATCACCAGGCTTGTTATGATGCGAGATTGTGTTCACAACAAATGCATGGCTTGATTAGCAATGGTCTGTATGAGTTGGTTAAACATTTTATTATTGTAAGAAGGAAAGCAGCAAGTGACTTAGCTGGAGTTTTGAGTAAAGTGAGAGTTTGGACAGTTAAATCTGCTTTTGTGCTGTTGCTGTTTACTAGTTCTATGTATACATAGTTTTTTTTAAGTTCAAAACCCTAATCATTTTGAGATTGTGGCAGCGCTATGTCACTTCCCTTTTATTCAACTAGTGGTTGTCCATGATTTTGGTTACCCACAGCTTTTACTTTCTTTGTTAACCCATCAGTACGGCACCGGATATCACTCATAGCATCAAAATGATTCACTGTATTTTATATAACTCATTAATTAGTGAAAGATCTTGTGATTCCTTCATTTTATGTCAGTACAAAATGTGCCTCCCATTTAAAGCCACAGTAGCAGCCCTGACCTTACACCAAATAACAGCCTCAGATAGGGTTGCAGTCAGATATTCGTGGAGCCAGTGAAGCACGCTACACTGAACGGTGCTTCCCTCCATGCTTGAAACATGAGTACCACCTCCCCACGCAGTTATGCCAGCGCAGTCTTTAAGTTGACCAGGTGATCGGGCATGTGACGGTGGACATGTGAAGCAGCTAGAAAGGGTAAGGGTAATTTTAGTGGGTATCAAAAGTAAGTGTTAAAATGTTGACAAAGCCAGAGGTCCTGGGTGTCAAGGTCTGTATTCAGCTTAGGCTTAAAGTAATTGCGATATGTGACAACGAAGTCTAACACCGGAATGAGCCTTGACTTAACATTGATATGTGATTGTTTGACTAAGGCAGAGGTGTTGTTTTGCTTTAGGATTCAATTCAAAGCCTTCGTATTTACAGCATGCAATTTAATCTGTATTAAGTACAAATCTGGGGCATTAAACTAAACCATGTTGAATATGAAGTCCAGTCACTCACCGCTGATGTATGTCACCATGTTGCATTATACGAGTAATCCTTTACACAGCTCATATTCACTGGACTCGTTTTAAGAGGCTGGTGTTTTTTATTGACTCTAGTGCTTTATAGATATCCTGTGCTCATTTGCATCAGGATCTAGCATGAAAACATTTCCAGCTCAAGGTGTAGTGCACTTTGATATGCTGATGATGTAAATTTTTGTCACTCCTTTCTTCTAAAATCATTATCAAAACAAATTCAAATTTTTCTTTCTTTTGTATTTTGTATCATATTGTCATTATCTTCTCTTAGTGACCACTTTGTGACTGAGTTATTTAACAATATCTTCCCAATATTGCACATTGTTGATTTTTATATAAATGTATGTCTTTTAAATAAACCTATAAACATTTAAAAATATATTTATGTATAGATTTTAGCTGACAACATAATGGAATTGGATGGGAAAAGATGACAATAAACAAAAGTCAATGTTCAGTTGTGTGTATAATGAAAACGGCCTTTGATTATGTCTTAGGATGCTGAATGTGTGTAATAAACTGAATATTATTGTTTTTACTCTTTTTGGCAGCTTCAGAATGTCCCCTGTTGTTTGTATATGGTCTAGTCTGATCAGGTCAGTTACTTAGGCTGGATTCTCGCTCCAGGCTCCTCTATTGCTCTGCGTTGGTCTTGGATTATCTGTGCGACTCCTGGGCTGAGATTTACCTGGGGATATAAATGGACACTTCACTTACGTAAACGGTCACAACAAGATGTTCTGGGATGAAAGCTGTGCACCGTGCCTTCAGATCAGGGAGTAAAGACTGAATCAAGCTTTAAGCCTCAAGCAATGCTAATTAAAATATGAGAGCTACATGCAAATAACTTTACTGGAGAAAATATAAATATTACAGGCAATTATCCAAGGTACTGGAATGAATACAAACATAGTGAAATGCGGGATGCTTGCTTTTACATTTTAATCAGATAAACTAGACCCCCATTTTGTATCAGATGCCATTTTAAATGCTTGTCAAACAAATATAGCCAAGTGATTTTTGGCCTGCATTGTGTATCTTGACTACTGGACCAGAGGGGAAAGTGACTCTTAGAAAAAGCATAAAATTATATTAAACCATTACCCCAAATTGGATAAAATATGGAGGCTCTTAAGAATTACTTTGTGTCCTCTTTCATTAGATAGAAGAGTGAATAAAGTAATAGGCCAGAATTTTGATGGAGAGATAGAATACATAAATATACAGTTTCTGTCAGGGTATGTCTAGACTTTTTCCACTGGGATGATCCTAGGGTCGCACCATGGTCAGCCCAACACTTTGATGCAAATGTTGTGAGATTTTTACACTTAAATTTAATATGGGTGGCCTGTACCTTTTTGACCACTCCTTAGAAATGCCCCTGATGGCTGTATTAGCAATAGTCATTTTCAGTGTTCTCATTAATAAAGAGACTCCAGTGGCCCCCCCAGAGGCTAAAAAGAAAAAGACTAAACATTGTCATAACAAAATCTCACTTGTATTGTCATTACTATAATATTAACAACACTGAGTCAAAAAGACACCTTAAAATATGAAATACAGGCGATGAAAGTGAAAGTTTAACTCCACAAATTATATAAAACA